ATAGAAAGAATCATCAATGTCGATCTCGTTTGAGAGCTAGCCCGGGCTCATAACCTGTCAAAATGTGAGATTTATTGGTTGTATTGGCCTTAACCACTGCCCAAGTCAAGAGGACGAAGGTCCCAGTTCTTATATACACAACAGAGATGTCCATGTGGGTCCGGACGCATCCTCGGTCTGGAGCGGTCTATTGTTTGACACACCAGACCCCGCATCGTGGTTGTTGCGAATATGACGACCTTCAAAGACATTTTGCGCCGATCTCCCTTGGCCGATTACGGCAAGGCCCTACGAGAAGCACCTCGAGAAACAATCTTCAATCGCCGCCTGCTCTTCTCTGCCATTGTCTATGCTTGTGGTGGTATGCCAGTCAGTAAGTACACAATGAAAACGGACCTCGGAATGCATTAGCCATTCGAAAGACTGGGCTGACATTTGTTCTCTCAATCAAGTCTGGGATCAGGGCGCTTCGTCAGTCATGCCCTCACTTCCAGGGTTCCAGAAACAGTTCGACATTGACTCCGGCGCGAATGCGGACGCGATACGCACCTTCATTGCCATCATCTACATTGGCTACGGTGTCGGATCTGCCCTGACATTCTTCATCAACGATCGCGTCGGCCGTATATGGTCATTTCGCCTCTACACGCTTGTGTACTGCATCGGCACATTCATGGCCATCTTCTCGCCGAACATCAAGGTCCTGTACGGCGCCCGAATCATCCAGGGCCTCGGTCTTGGGGCATTCACTGTCAGTGGCCCAATGTCAATTGTCGAGATTGCGCCGCCCCAGATTCGTGGACTGCTTGTATCCTGGTTTAGCCTGTTCATGGGCGTCGGACTCGTCGCGGCCGTCTTTTGCACCTTGGGCGCCTACCGGCATATCTCTGTGGGCAAGCTGCAGTACCAGATTGTCATGTTTGTCCCCATGATTTACCTGGCTGTCTGTATGGTGGCAACCCTCTTCATCGAGGAATCGCCACGCTGGCTCTTCTTGGTTCAACGACGCGAGGAAGCCATTGCCACTTTGGTTCGGATCCGCGGTCTGCCTGCCAATGACCCCCTTGTAAGCCGCGAGATCCAAGACATCGAGGACGACATCGGCACACAGGCGGAAGCGATCGGAAACTCCAGCTTCTGGACCATTTTAAAGGAAACCTTCACCAAGGCCTCAAACCTCCGACGAGTGCAGCAGAGCCTTCTCACCTATGCACTCGCGCAGCTTTCCGGCGCAAATCTCATTACCTCCTACTTTGTGCCGATCCTAGCAATTGTCGGGATTCAAGGGGACACGGCATACTCCATGTTCCTCAGTGGCATGTACGGAACTTCTAAATTCTTTTTCATTCTCATCGCGTCCTTTTTCTTTATCGACGCCCTGGGTCGCCGCAGGTCTCTGTTCGTGGGCGCTGCCATGCAGCTGGTCACGCACGTCTATCTTGCTGTCTATGTGCGATACACGCAGTTGGGCCCCGTTCCCGAGGCAGCTTCGAATGCTGCTATCGCAGCTCTCTTCATACACGCTTTCGGCTATGGTGTTGGTACGTTGGCCTCCCTCCTGTGGCCATTTCCACCGAAAGCCTCGAAGCTAACTTGCGCCCAGGTCTATATCTTCTCCCTTACGTCTTTGGCGGTGAACTGTGGCCAAATCGTATACGGTCCTTCGGTGCCGCCCTGAGCCAGGCCTTCCACTGGCTCTTCATCTACGGGATGCAATATAGCATGCCTTCCATACTTTCCAGCTTTCACCAATGGGGAGCCTTCCTCTTCTTCGCAGCCTGGTGCGCTGTTGCTATCTTATATACGTACCTGATGATTCCCGAGGTGTCTGGCCTGACGGTTGAGGAAATTGAAGAAATGTTTAAGGGTCCATGGTTTAACGCATATCGGACAAATAACCGAACCACTATTGAGGGGCGTCCTAACGCTGCTGACGAAGACATGGATAAAACAATATAAATATGCCATTTCATTGTTGCATTCTTTCTATAGAATAGGACAATATCTAGCTCGATCTCCTCTGCCTGCCGTAGATTAAATCCTAGAGCACTATACTGATATCGGTAAGTAGACTATTAACTTCCGACGATCTGCCGCTACCTTATATAGCTGAATGACGTCGAGGGGTTCTTAAGTCGCGGCATCAGCCTTTCATTAGCTTGGAACCGAGCCAGGAAAAGTTCCTTATAAGTGATATTTTTGTAGGCAATAAAAGCGTAACAGCTAGGTATACGCTATATTCCTCTGTAAAAAGGACGCTTAATATTAGGAATGATAAGTCCCCCGTGTTTAATAAAGGCGGGATGAACTGCTATACACGCACTTATTGAATTTAAGGCAGTGTTATATGGCGCGTGCCTTGGTGGTCCCTCGATAGGCGGTCATTATTGCAGTGCTTCATGGTGACGAGTACGTCAAAAAGAGATGGGGCGCACCCGAACCCCGCCGCCTTGTTACTGTACGCAAAGAGCACCAGGACGACGAATGATGAGTACTGTTGAGGCGATTGCAATCCAACCATCATTCTAAGCGGTCACGATCACGTGTCCGCCCGGAATGCCGTCTAGTTGATATTCGCGCGCGAGCAGTCTGCACCGGTACGTCGCCTCAGTCACCCTCCGGCGGGCGGCAGTCGCCTGCGACCAAGGACACACCCGAGCTCCTGGTCGTGGGTTGCAGCGCCTAAGGGCTCGGCCTTCACCGTCCTCCCTTCTTGGCAACTTTATGATCCTCGTGGTCGTTCAGCTAGTCGTCAGAACACTTCGTTCAGACCGTTGAAAGTACAAATATTGGCTAGCCGCCTCAGCCACTACCTAGATCAACTCCTGTTGTATTGCTTTAGCAGCAATATCCGGATAACTGGTCTATAGACGAAGCGAGATAGCCCCATGGAGGGTTGCACCCATTGGCACCTAAGTTGTTCTTATTGAAGAGGTATACCCAGCCTGGAACAGCCCATAAGCTTTCATCGAGCGTGGGGGAAAGAGACAGACCATTCGCGCATCGGCACACGCCAGGGATGCAGCAACGAGGAGATGCACTATGTGCTGGTTCATACACTAGACTTCGCTGTAGAGTAAATAAGGGCAGCTCACTATGGGTAGCAGCCGCTGTTCCCTCGAACGCCAAGATGCATCTCAGGTTGGTTGACGGGAGAACATGAGACCGTTCCTACCACAGCGACGACTGACAGCAAAACTCCTAAGAGCCTCATGATCTATGTTGGAATCATATACTCCGAATGAGACCTTGAAGTGAAGTTGGTGAAAGTACACCGAGGTTTGTTCCAGGACCGACGGGATTATATATCCGGATACATGCTACACCGATTTAAGCGCAAACGTGCCTGGAGCATAGTTTGGTGACATCCAGAGGCAACACAATTCATGCCCACCGGTGACCGATTATGGCTCGTTCAAGCTTTGCCAGCCCACGGCGGTGAGTTGCCGTCCACGATGTGACTGCTGCACATCAAGAGCGGTTTAACGTGGCTCGACATATAGCATCATCCACCCCAGTGACCCCACCCTTGGTCATGGGAAGGATTCCAACCACATGTTACGTCAGAGGTGCGACCTTTCACTAGAGCTTATACATTGGGGGCTCAGAAATGACACCGTTGCGACGAGACCACCCCTTCGTTCACCCCTCTGCAGCAAATTGCGTAAGTTGCTCCTTCCCGCCCACATGGACAGACCATAGGAGGCATGCAATGATGCTAGTTTGCCGTATAAACTCCAAGATTACGAATACTTCGGTTAGAAGGGAGGAGCAACCCGGTCTCTGATGCCATGTGGCATCATGTTGTGGTGTCACAGAAAGTCTGGATACGAGACTTTCGCACAATGCACCATAAGATCCTGTGCATGGGTAAACGATCACCTCAGGGGGCGGGAGCACCGGTATCATTTCTCTGCATCCCGCAGCTCCTCTCCGAGGCAGAGAGTTACACATCTCTCTCAATTTGACAACTCATCGACAGCCCTCTTTGCGAACCCTTCGTCGCACAATACGGTTCATGCAGAGAGTTTGCCGTTTCAGACAAGAATACGCCTACTCATCCATGTCCTTACACGCAACGAGAGCCTCCGCCGTAGCGACTGGAGCGCTGCCAGTCATAACTAGTACTTGTATGATACTCGCAACGTCGTGGACCGTCGCCACACCCCAAAGCGCCGCGCTTGCTTGCTTCGCCTTTGCGTCGCCAAGAACGGGCGCGCACGAGCCGAGAAACTTCTTCTCCAGCATGGCGTCATCCATGGGCACCTCGCGGCTGCCTGCGGCGTGCGCGACATACGTCTCCAACATGGTCCCGTCCTGCCAGACGACAGTGACACTGGCCGCGTCCGCCCCTCGCCCCTCCTGGGCGTGCGCATTGATCTTGTCGCGCACGCTGACAATGGCCGGGTCGTGCACCACGTCGTCCTCGTATTCGCGTGGCGTGGCTCTGCCCAGAACCAGACCGCAGGCGCCGCTGTGGTAGACACTAAACTTGGCCTGGAGGCCGTCAACGGGGGTTCTCTTGCCCGTCAGCTCCAAGACCAGGGCATGGACCTTGACATCGACGGTCTGGATGTGGGCGGCGTTGAGACCCTTGGCTTCCATGTCGCGGTGCAGGCGGATGCAGGCATCGATGACGGGGTGGATGACGATGCCGCAAGGGAAGGGCTTGAAGCTGTTGCGCAAAATCTCCCAGCGACCCTTACCGGCCGCAGCAGTGAAGAGACCTACGCCCACGTCGGCCTCGCCAAAGCCAATCCATTTCTGCAGGCCGGCCTGGGGGTCGGTCTTGGTCGCGGCCACGACGTTGGCCCAGCCGCGCTTGGCCTCGAGCGCCTGCGCACTGCTCGTGTAGCCCCGTTGCGCCAACAGCGCGGCCAGTAAGCCCGCCTGGGCGGCACGGCCGGGGTGAAACGACTTGGTGTGGCTGCCAAACATGTCGCGCAGGCCGACGACCTGCGTGGCCGCAAGACCGACGGCGTGCGTCAGCTGCTCCGGCGACAGGCCGAGCAGCTTGCCCACGGCAACGGCGGCACCGATGGACCCCGCGGTCGACGTGATGTGCCAGCCCACGTCGTAGTGTTCTGGCCACACAGCCAGGCCGACCTTGCATTCGGCCTCGATGCCGGCGACGAGCGCCAGGAGAAGGTCTTGTCCACGGACGGGCGCGTGGAGCTCCGCCACGGCCAGCAGCGCTGACGCGACGGGACCGGTCGGGTGGATGATGGTGTCGAGGTGGGTGTCATCATAGTCGTGGACGTGGCTGGCGATGCCGTTGAGGAGCGCCGCGTGCTGGGCATCTGCCGATACGGAGAGGCCCAGCAGGGACGCGTGGGCAGGCCCGAAGAACGGGGAGAGGGTGTCGTGCTGATTTCAGGGGGGCAGGGGCGGCAGCCACCAGGCCACGGGTGTCAGCGGCATTTGTGGTCTCGGGTATAAGGCCTGGGAATACAGAGACGACGTGGAGGAGCGGCTCGGGATCTGTGCTTACGGCGATGGACGCTGCCTCGTGCCGACTCCCGCCAATGGTGCAGCCAGCCCAGTTGTAGAAGCTTCGGACGGCGGCTCGCACGACATCAGGGGGCAGGTCGGCAAAGGTAAGGTTGTAGGCCCAATGGGCCAGACGCGCGGTGGCCATTGTGATGCCGTCTCGACTCTCTTCTAGTTGTTTGTGGACCGCGAGTGGCGGAATGGTTTCTGCCGAGCGCAAACGGCGAGGCGAGGCGAGGCGATTCAGGCAAAGCAGGCCACCACGCGTTGAGCACGGCCGTTTGTAGACTGGGCCGAACCACCAGTTTACATACTTTACACACGGCTCCGCGATCGGCAGACAAAAGCTCCTCGGAACTTCAAGGATCGCGCGGCAGTTGCCAACCCGTGAACCTGACCCTTGGCGCCCACTTGAACGGCACAATCGATCCGTGTACACAAGGCATTCATCGTAGCATTGATCCGGCGAACCACCCATCGCCTTTGCTGATGGTGCGGGTGAATGGAAGAACCGACGGCGGGGGGCAACAGCGATGCCGCTCGACGTTTGTCCCAGCATACATCTAACGGCTGGCGTCGTTCATTGTCCTGGGTACCATGCCATGTCTCTCCTCAGTCTTGAGAGCAAACTCGAATCAAAACAACTATACCATGGCAAAGTACTTTGGATTGCGCGGGCGTAGGCTCGAGCAAGCCATTATCTGGACCGTCATTCTGCCCACGTACATCCTGTTTGGCTACAACAACGCCGTGGCCGGTGGGCTCTTGTCGCTCCCTTCCTTTGTCGAGACCTTTCCGCGAATCGACACCCTCAACACGACGGGCGCCACCAAGGCGAACAACTCGCGCGTTCAGGTAAAGCACTTAGACCGTGGGTCTTTGAGTATCTTGCATATGCGGAACTGACTGCCCCCAAACCAGGGCACCGTCGTCGCCATCTACACGCTGGGGTGCTTTTTCGGATGCCTCGACTGCATCTGGCTCGGCGACAGGCTCGGCCGCAAGCGCACCATTATGCTGGGCGCGGCCGGTAACATTGTTGGAGCGATCCTGCAATCCACGTCCTTTTCCCTCCCGCAGCTCATCGTCGGGCGGTTTGTCTCGGGCTTTGGCTACGGGCATGTGACGGCGACGGCGCCTAATTGGCAGGCCGAGTGCTCACGGGCCAAGCATCGCGGCGCGACGGTCCTCTTGGAGAGCGTCTTCATCAGCTTCGGACTGTCCGTCGCGGCGTGGGTCAATCTTGGCATCTCCCACGCCAGTGGTTCTGTGACGTGGCGGTTCCCCTTGGCCTTGTCGACCCTCTGGTCCATTCTCATCCTCTTGACCATTCCGCACATGCCCGACTCGCCCCGCTGGCTCATCAAGAAGGGCCATGAGGATGGTGCACGCACCGTCCTGGCCGCGCTCGCCGATGCGGCGCCCGACAGCGCTGACGTGGAGGAGAGCATCCTGGAGATGAAAAAGTCGCTCGCCATGGCTGGCGAAGCAAAGTTTCGCCACGTCTTTGCCAATGGCGACCTGCGCCTCTTCCATCGCGCCTGTCTGGCAGTGGCCGGCCAAGTGTTTCAACAAATGTCCGGCATCAATGCCCTCGCCTTCTACCAAGCCAAGATCTTTGAAGACGACTTGGGCCTGTCGGCCACCAAGGCTCGCATTATTGCTGGCGGCGTCTTCACCTGGCAGACGGTGTGCTCGCCAATCGGCGTCTTGACCGTGGACCGCTTTGGCCGCCGCAAGCTGATGCTCTTTTCCGCGGTGGGCATGGGCGTCTGCATGGCCGTGGCGGCGGGAACATCCTCGCAGCCCAACAACATGGCGGCGATTGGCGCCGCGGCGGCCTTTATCTTCCTCTTCTCCTTCTTCTTCCCGATTGGGTTCCTGGGCCTGACGTTTTTGTATGCGGCCGAGGTCGCGCCTTTGAGTTATCGCGTGCCGATTACGTCGCTCTCGACGGGCGCAGCATGGCTGTTCAATTTTGTACGTGGTATCCGCAGCGACTCATCGTAGGCCCTTGAAAAAGAAGAGAGAAACATGGCGGCCCATCTGATACAGTCTACAGGTCGTCGCCGAGATCACCCCAGTGGGCTTTGCGACAATTGGGTGGCGCTACTTCATCGTCTACGCCTCCATCAACCTCTTCTTGATCTATCCTGGTAAGGTCTCTGCCGCATCCCTTGAGGGGCAATGTCGCTAACCCGGCAGGCGTCTACTTCTTCTTCCCCGAGACCAATGGCCGGCATCTGGAGGAAGTCGACGAGATCTTCTTACAATCCAAGTCCATCTTCGATACGGTCAGCGTGGCGCGGCACCTTCCTCGGGCGACGGGTCATTTTGGCCAAACCTTGGAGGAGAAAGTGCATCACTCTGGCGACGCGACCAGCGCCGACCAGACCACAGTATCCGCGGAGCACAGGGAGTAAGTTCGTGGGCATTGCACTTGATGATGGGGAGAGAGCCCAGCCTCTGCGTGGACCTTGGGCCCCCAGTACGTGTAGAGTCTGCGAGGCCACCATATGACGCGCCTAGTCCCGGGAAAATGCACACAGCGTGTGCTCCTCTGACACATTGTACGCCGATCATAGGTGTTGTGCAGGTGCTGTCCGCAATCCGCATGTCCGATTCTGTCAGGGAGCGATCCCTCACCAACCCCGCCTGCCCCCACATTCATACAGGCCAAGTCGGGGGATCTGCAGGTCACGATTCTGGCCAGCTGCTCCAGCGCTCATAGAGTAACCCGGGGAAGCTGGCTGTCAGCCACCAGGCCCAACCTGGATGCGATCATCCGTCGTAGATGCGGTCCAGTCGGAAGAATACGACGAAATCCCGGACTTGCAGAATGTCGCCAGCTTGCTGTTCTTCATGTTGTGGAATCGCACCAGAGGTGGGGTTTCCTTGACCGACGCCCATTGCAAGACAATCTGTGATAATGAACACACAGCCCCTCCCCTTCGGTTCAGGGTGAGCGGGATGACCTGACTCTGCATTGCCGTCTCGTCTCATCAGTCATGATGCATTCCACGGCCTCGTCCGCGTGCGCGGCACTGTTGGCTCTGGCCAGCATCGGCAGTGCTGACCACAGCGCCTCGTCTCCCTCGGGCTCCGGCTATCACGACGGCGCAGGGGTGCTCCAGCACGTCAATCCACTCGTTGGCACCAATGGCGGTTCCCCCAACGACAATGGCGGCATGATTCCCTCCATCGCCCCGCCCTTTGGCATGACGCGCTGGACGCCGCAGACGCGCGAGAACTTCATTTCCCAGGTGCCGTACTCGGACAGAGACCGCCGCGTGCATGGCTTCCAGGCAACCCATCAGCCTGCCATATGGATGGGCGAGCAAGGCCAGATGGTGCTCATGCCCGGCCTCAACAGCGACGGAGAAGGCGGCGTCCATGTCGCCTTTGAGAAGCGAGGGCTCGCCTTTCGCAAGCAAGATGAGCGGAGCACGCCGTACGTCTACGAAACCCTCTTGGACGCAGCCACCGCAGGAACGTTTGGGTGGAACCTCACCGAGCAGGCGGCGTCGGAGCAATTCGGCTCAGCGTGTCCACCGTGTCCCGGCGGTGGAGCCCCGGTTCCGGACGCGGTGTCAGAGGGAGCCAACGGACGCGTCCGGAAGCGACAACTCCTGGGCCATGACCTAGCGCCGGATGCCCGAGATCAACCCTCGGCTGACAATGGCACGTCGCAGGAATACGACCGTGGCATTCGCGTGGCGATGAGTGCGACGGCGCACACTGGCCACCTTCGCTTCGACTTTGAACAAGGCGACGCGCACGAGCCGTATCAGCCCTTTGTCGTTGTCCAGGCCAGCCGGCTCAACTGGACGGGGCATGTCGAGATTGATCCGCGCCGGCGCGAGGTCTCTGGCAGCAACACGCAGCGGCAGGACTACGCCCTTGGGCCAGATCGGCCCACGTCATTTAGGGGCTACTTTGTCTCTCGCTTCTCGGCACCATTCTCTTCCCACGGCATTGCACGCGGCAACGAAACCGAGCACGGCAAGCGTCTGGCCAAGGGCAAGAACATGGCTGCATATGTCACCTTTGACAGGTCGGTGCGCCGCGTCGAGGTACGAACCGGCGTGTCCTTTGTCAGTGTCGAGCAGGCCCGGCGAAACCTTGACCTGGAGATACCAGACGGCAAGTCGTTCGAGTCAACTGTGCAAAAGACCAAGTCCGCATGGCTCGAGAAGCTGGGCCGTGTGGACATTTCGGGTGTCAACAAGACCAACGCGGACCACGATGCACGCACAATCTTCTACACGGGTCTTTTTCATGCTCTGCAATATCCCAGCGACTTCTCCGAGCCAACAAGCTCGGCAAAACATGGTGGGAAGCGACGTTTCTACAGCGGCTACACGGACAGCGTGCACGAGGAAGGCGACTCGTATTACCAGTCCTGGTCCATCTGGGACACGTATCGCGCCGAGCACTCGCTGCTCACGCTGTTTGCGCCGGAGCGCGTCGACTCCATGATGCGCTCCCTACTTCGCATTTTCGACTGGTCCGGTCGTCTGCCCATCTGGGCCAATGTCGTCGAGACAAATATCATGATTGCAACGAATGCTGATGCCGTACTGGCCAACGCCCTCGCGCGCGGGTTTCGCGGCTTCGATGTTGCGAAGGCGTGGCAGGCTGTCCGCAAGAACGCCTACGAGCCGCCCGAGCGCGACACGGAGCTTTTATACTACGATCGCGAGCCCGACACGCCCCACGAGGCTCGCGCCGGCCTCACGAGCTACATGCGGCACGGGTGGGTGGACAATGACGGCTGGGCCGAGGCGGGAAGCCGGACCCTCGATTTTGCCTTCAACGACCACGCGGCGGCGGCCGTGGCATCGCACGCGGGCGACAACGCTTCGGCAAAGGAGCTATACGCTCGTAGTGGCAACTACGCGCACCTCTGGAACAATGCCACCGAGTTTATGCAGAGCCGCAACGCCAACGGCAGCTTTGCCAATGACGAGTGGGGATGGACCGAGGGCGACAAATGGGTGTACACGTTTGACGTGATGCATGACGTGTTGGGTCTCGCGGGGCTATTCCGCCATGGCAAGGCAGGCATGAAGCGCAAGCTGGATGAGCATTTCGCTGGCGGCCACAACATGCACAGCAACGAGCCGTCGCACCACGTGCCATACCTGTACGCGACGCTGGGATACCCGGCCGACACAGCGGACAAGGTGCGGGAGATTGCCTGGCGAGAGTACAACGCCACCGCGGCCGGACTGAGCGGCAACGAGGACCTCGGCCAGATGAGTGCGTGGTACGTGCTTTCGGCGCTGGGGTTCTACCCCGTGAACCCAGCGTCGGACGAATACATTATTGGAACACCGTTCTTCGATCGTGTGACGATTCGTGTGCCTGCCGTGCCTGGCGGGCCCGCGGAGCACGAGCTCGTGCTATCGGCGCCCGGTGCGGGCACCGGCGGGAAGGCGTATATCAATGGTCTGAAGCGGGATGGAAAGGCGGTGGAGAGGCCGGTGCTGAAACACGGAGACATCGTCCGGGCGAAGAAACTTGACTTTGAGATGAGCTCTCATCCGACCAAATGGGGAGAAAGGGGAGCAAAATGAAGCCAGCTTTTGCTAGTTGTAGGCTGGAGCCTGCTCCACTGCAGACGCAGCAACAGCAACAGCAGCAGTGCTGGGAGCGCGTTGCGCCGCCCGATGCCATGCCTTGCAGCACTACTTAAAAAGGCCGGGGAAGGGCGCGGCTGAGAAAAAAAGTAAGAGGGGTTCTACAACGAGCAAAATATGGCTCTACGAATAGCAATACTCTTTCTTTTTCATGTGTAATCGGGACAGCTTTTGGGCATGCCGGCCATGCTCCGGGCTGGATGGTACCCTTCCGTCCTGCCGGTGCCATGACTCCCGCTTGGACCCCGGAGCGGCATCCTTTCGCGACCCGAACCCCACTGGTTCGGGTCGCTGTGGACTGCCGTATTCGGCTCCCCTGCCGCCGCGATTGGAGCGGCACACCACACTAAAACTCGGGAACTGTGGGGGCTCCGCATGTCCGACCCGGCTTGCCGGTCCGCGCGGGCAGGGCGACTGGCATTTGGCTGAATATGCCCCTACGACATCGGTTCCCGCGACCTCCCTGTGTGACACAACCATGTGGTGTGTGGTGCCCGTTCCACTGCCTGGTCAGCCCTCTCCCAGTACCAAAGATTGCGTTGCGCCGTGCGATGTCAGCCCGACTTGGACGCAGCGGTGGGCTTTATTAAACTGTTCCGGGGAGCGTGGCAATTGGCCCCTAGTCGCTAAAGCCTTGCCTACCGTGGTGCAGGCACCGAAAGATCTACCGTCTTTATTGAGCCGTAAGCGCTTATCAATCGCCCCTTGTGAGCAGCATCGTGCTCAATCGAGACGCCTCTGGAGCGTCACAGCATCGTGAGTGGCACGGCGGTGTGTGCCATCGGGCAATTGCCAACATAAGAAACGGCCCTATGTCCCGTTACGTTGCCACGGCTATTGTACCTCCAACGTGTCACAAACCGTCTCCAACTCATGTTCAAGTTGTTCCCTGAATACCCTGCGACCAATTCCCCGCGCGAGCACTCCATCCATTTCCGTACATGGATGTAGCCGCGCAGCATGGCGACCGAATGGCAGGCACTGGGCACGGTGGCCTACGTCGACACGGGCGCCGTGTTTGGCAGTGCCGACTACACAACCATCGTTTTGAATCACGGATTTGGATTCCACGGCGGTGAGATGAGATTCGACGACGGACGTGTACGCAGAAGTTAACTCGCTCTCGCAAACTAGCCATCATGTCCCCCATGGAACCGTTTGCCGCAAAGCACAACGCCCGGCTCGTTATAGTGAACCGACGAGATCACCCTGGCTCAGCACCATATATCGAGGTCGAACTCGCCCTCCTCCGTCATATGGATGGATTGTCCCCGCAAGAAGCATGCTCTCCTCTGGATGCCTTTATGCGTGACCGTGCCTTGGAGCTGTATGAGTTTGTCTGCGCTTGGGCGCATCAGGCGGGGATTCCCTCGGCAAGCGGGCCCACGGGTGGCATCGTTCTGGCATCGTGGTCCATGGGAGCGAGCTGGCTGATGGCGCTCCTAAGCAGCATTGCTTCTTCGACCTCGCGAGGTATATACAGCGTGCGATTCTATACGGTAGGCTTAGACTGCCCTTTTCTCCCGCCCTTGCTGCTTCATATTGCCTTTAAGACATGCAAGACTGCGCACATGTGAACTGATGTTCATTAGACGCGCCATTTGCTTCTCTCGGTTACCTGTCACCGAGCGATGCATACGCCCCACTCCTGGACGAAGATATCCCGCCTCCAGACCGACCGAGTACCGTCTTGTCGTGGATCTCGGGGTACTACTCACACGATGGTGCCGTCGATGGGCTAGAGAGGCGCACCTCGTCCACATCGCCGACGCCTACGCTCGGCAGGATGACACCGGAACAGCTGCAAGGCGTCTTCACAGCCAGTGCTGCCGGAGAAGACGGCCCTGACACATTGCATCTCCGTCTCTCCGAGGTGACTGGGGCAAGTGCTCTGTTCCGGCACCGCGTCCTCTTTCACAACGGCTCTCACGCCATGCGCCCAAACCACTGGGCTGCCCTTCCAATTCGCCACGTAGCGTGTAATAGATCGGTGTGGCATATGCCGTGGTGCGCTGCCGCCCTGCGTCGCGAGCTCGACGAGGCAAAGGACGACACGCGTCGCGTGCGTGACGTAGAGATTGTCACACTAATGGGCGCAAATCATTTTGTAGGCTGCGTCAGGTTCGCTATACGGCCTACAGCACTGACAACTCGACAGGCTCACTGGGACGAACCGTACCGACTGATGCATTTGCTGCACTGGGAAGGCTCTTCATCCCCGCACTGAACGTACATATACAACATCTCCATGCTAGAAACAATCGCCACGCCACTGCCTCTTCGAGTACATATAGCTACCGCGGTGCTGACTTCTCTGGCGTACGGCACCATGCAAGTCTCGGTAACAAGTCTAGCAAAAGAGCTTATACAAAAACATTGACATCTTCTGCCCACGACAGGGAAGTTCCAGTCATCAGGCACTGCCAACATGAAAGCAAGCCATGGTTCTTTGTCCGGTGGGCATCTCAAAACAATTAGTCAAGAAACCATGCACATTGTGGCGCATGAGAAGGGTGCATGGTTGCTTATTAGCTATATCTCCGACCGCCAAGGCACCAAAATACCTGTGCATACCACGGCAATGCGGGAAAAGCTTGTTGGGCGGATACCTGTGCCGAGTGTGAGCCCTCCCTGTACATGTACCCACAGTGGCGTGGGCAAAGTACCGCGCAGGCCTGTTCCGTCGGTCCGGAGCTCAATACCCACACGGCGTAGCAAGCCTTCGGACTGGGGTTGCCGTGATCAGGTCCGAGTTAGCTCCGGGTAGGCGATGTCGTGCCAGTGCGGAGGAACATATTTGTCCGTTGCCACAAGTTTGCCCGACGCAATCATTCCACCTGCACCGAAACTGAAATCTAATCCGCTCAATCATGCGAAGAGACCTAGTAGTGCTCGTGTCGGCAATACACCCTTTCAGGCATTTCCGTGTCGAGGCCTCCGATGCGCTGACAGGTTTTCCCAATGTGGCTGGCTTACATGTAGTGACACAGGAACGGAATGTCGGCTGAATGTAGGCAAAATGGAATTTCACTCTATGGGAGAGCGCATAAGAGTTTGACTGCCGTAATCTTGTGTTTACCGTAGCAGAATGGGTTGCAGTCCACGTATCGTCAAGTTGGCTCGGGTTAATGTTTTGCCCGCCTCCTCCTACCCACCTTCTCTCTCCTCAGGAACACTGTCAATATATACACCGTGCCTTTTGCGTGCTTCACGCAGTCCAAACGCACCTCGCAGCTTCCTTTCGAGAGCAATAACTGACCCTTCGTTCCATCCATAGTGAACCCTCTCACTACACAATGAGGTTCTTTCAGATGGCAGCTGTGCCTGCCTTGTCTGCTACACTGGCGAATGCCCAAAACATTCCAAAGAAAGTCACCATCTTGACTCCTTTAATGGGCTCCACGGTCGGCATGAAGGGCATGGGGTGGATGATGGATGTTGTAGCAGAATTTTCTGCACCATCGGCCGCTACCTCATCGGCGGTTGCCACAGCTACTCCTAGCTCGTCGGGCGGCGGCGGAGGGTACCGACGTTCCAACCCAACGACGGACCCCGATGATGGATTCTTTCCCTTTCTCAACTCCCCGAACCTCACTACGTTTGGTCCTGGTCCGAATCAGGCGGCCCCGGGTTTCGTGTGCCTACTCAACACCTCATCCAACCCAAGCCAGAACTTTGCCGGTGCGTTCCAGCTGAACGCCATCACAAACTCTGACAAGCAAGGCAATATATTAGAGGCCTATTTCTCGTGGTTCGTCGGAGCCCCTAACTTTGCCTCCAATGCCAACGCCGCCGCTACAGTCTTCTTCTTGAAGGGCGCCGCTCCGGCCAACTATACCGGCGACCCGAAGACCGATCCCAACATCATCTCAAACGTTGCTACCGTCACATTCTCTATTTTCGGCGACGCCGCTTCCAACGCCACGTCTGCTTCGTCCGTGGACTCACCACTAAGCATTACGCTCTTTACGCCAAGATCCGGGGAGCTGGTGGGCAAGAACGGTTCTGGTTGGATGGTGGACATGGTGATTGGCAATAATGACACCAAGGCCAATTACTTCGCCCCTTCCAGGAGCTACGAGCCACTCTACCACGACAACTTCACCGACAAGGACTTTTCTCCTGGTGCCAGCAAGGCGGTTCCGGGACTCGTCGTTTTGTCCAATAGCTCGACCCTTCCTGGCGGCGCCAGCACGAATCTGGCAAACCTTTTCCAGATCAACGCCGTTACGCGTGTCCAGAATCGTATCATCACCGAGTATTGGTGTACGTGGTTCGTCGGCTCGCCTTTTGCCGGCATGAATCAGCCCTCTAGCCTCACCATGTTTGTTGTCAACGGAACGGCGCCGTCCTCGGTCGGCAAGACCATGCCATCCAACATTATCTCCAATGTCATGACGGTCAACTTCACGTTGGCGGGACCGAGCTCCGCCTCAGCCGACTCAAAGGGATCAACGTCTAGTGCCGGTAGGCTGGATCTTGCGATCGGCTCGCTTTTTTTGGGTTTATTGGTCTTTTTGTTCTAATCCTGGTACATGTACGAATGATGTGCGCACTATGCCTCGTCTTTTGTTTCTTTGCTTTGGCCCAGACGGCGAGATATGACAGATCACTTAAAGTACGGTACGCAAATATAGGCCGACGAGTGTATCTAGGAACATAGGACTCCGAGTCGTGGCGTTACCTTTTACTTGCACCATCCTGGGGCCTCGTCTATAGTATCGACGTCCGATGCCAGCGTCTCATCACGAGCATGGAAGACGAAAAGCAAAGGGACTACCCGGCTCAGAGTACAGTACGCCCTAAGCGCGTTCGTTTTGTGGTGTGCTTTGTCTTTGATGTCGCATCTTTTGGTTGCCGATTCTTCGAGACGACAGACGTCCAAATGCAATTGCCGAGGCCAGAATGCCACGACCACAGCGCGCCAGTTCCGAACGTGTGGCTTTGTGTAACTGCCCCCCAGCCATTCTGGGTCGCGTGCTTCACATTTTCCTCGCCACCTTGGGTGACATGGGGCTCTTGAAACGTACGTTGCCTGGCTCCCTCTCCCATCGCGTCGCGATGCTTGTCATGAACCGCATGTGAGCCTTAGTCCGGCACGGGAACACGACTTGTTACAACAACAGGTAGGCCGGCAGGTATAGAAACAGCTCGCGCCAAGGAGATGAGGAAATATGACAAGGAATGATGCTGCCATTATTTGCCAGTGTCTATGCAAACTATCCCAAACGAGTGACAAAATTCAACGTTCCTCCACGCGCATCAACAACCCCAGTGGCAGAGGACTCAGCGGGACGGACCAGCCAGACCAACACGCCATGCACCGGACAAGCCAGTTCCATGTTGCCGCATGCATCACTTTGCGCTGGAGTCCGGGGCCAGTCGTTTGTGGGCTTCCTCTACGGCTGTGCGCCGTTGTTCTGCGGCCCAGTCCCGCAGGTTTCGGTAGGCGGCGACCCCCCGCCGGAAGTCACGGGGGCTTGTAAGGCTATAAGCGGAGACGTATGTCATCACATAGCCGTCCGCCGTATTTGTACCCCTCGGCGGGACTGGGTGACACGTAAACAGGTCCAAGTGTCCGTTTTGGAGCGTGGTAACAATGGTGTAAGCCATGTTGTCGAGGGGAGGAGGCGTCGACTGCCCGGCGACCTGCAGGTTTCTTATGGCCCTCGCTCCTAGCGCTCCGTCGTAACACGCTTGCCGTCGTGCGGCGTGCAGCGTTCCACTGGCACCCTTGACCTCCAGAAAGAAGTTGGGCACAACCGGACGACCCTCCTGTGTAGAGGGCACGATATGCTTGGCCAAGTCGCCGGCGGATCTCAAGACGTCCGGAATGCGGGACTCGCCGTACCAACGATCCGGCTGGCATGCCACAAGGCTGCCATCGGTGAGGTGCTTCAAATTGTTAAAAACAGTTTCCCTCTCAGTAAACACGCTGTCATCGAGAGTTAGGTCCCCTTCGAAGTAGGGGAGGCATTGGGCCTTGACGGCGTTCTCGTTCTCAAGCCAATAAATTTCGGATCGGAATTTTTCGATGTCGGCATCCGAAATTCGCGACGGAGAGACGGAATCCCTCCGCCGTGCCATCCTCTCGCGTACCTCATCCATGTTGTTGGGCACTGGCGGCACATAGCCATCCAGGAGGGAGGAGTAGGGAAGAAAGATGCCCCACTCGGCCATGTGTGCTTCGAAGTTCTTGTCGCAGCCATTTGTCTTGCCAGTGCTCCCGGTCGTCGTGCTCCCGCTCGAACCGGACGCTCCGTCTCGGTCACCAGGTGGTTTCCACTGCTACATCGTCAACGAACAGACGTGGGCGGGAGAGGAAAGGAGGAGACGGGAACGGGATTGTTAAACGTACACCTCGAACGTCCTCGAGGTTTGGCCCTCCTCGCCTGGCTAGAAGCCTAAGCTGCCTCAAGTCGCCCGCAGAGAGCCTGCGGATCAGGTCCTCTGCGCCCACTCGATCTGTCGGCTCGCTCCTACCGATATCGTGTATATTTGGCTCGCAGGTGGATTCCGAGATCCTCCGCTGTAACTCCCGCAAGGCTCTTCGCGTAAACACTATAGTAGACAATCGATCCCAAAAGATTGGTGGCGTAACTTTTGGGTATCCCCCGTAATCGTGCGTCTCCTTCATCTTCTTATGCGAATGGTCGTTTTCCGTTTGTTGCGTGGCAGAAGGCGCGCGGCTGGCGCGCTTGCAAGACATGCTTTGAACTGTTTGTGAACAGGCGGGAACTATTGTGTTGGCCTCTGGGTGCATGATTGTGATGCCAAACCGAGACTTTTATCCTCAGAGCCGGGAGTTGACGGACTCGCTTTGACGTCCTGGCACGTTCAACGTTGAAGCGGCGGCGTCAAAGAGCGAAGAAATCCCTTCAATGTTGACATTCATCTCTTTGTGGAGCACTGGAGACACAGGCTTTACACAAAGCCCATGCAAGGCTGGGGCGAAAAGCAAAGCAGGACACGCCCACGGGCCACTGTGGCGCGGACGTGACTCAAAGGAAGCGACTGGTCAATGTTCTCTCCCAGATCGTCGCCACGAGAACCGGCATCCTGCTCGGCCATTCAGGTTCCGCGCCATCAACAAAGAAAGGCGACGACCCGTGTCCGCGGGCGTCCGCACACGGAACATGAAGATAACCGTGCCTAGCTCACATCAAAAGGGCACTCTCAAAGTGCTCAAGCTAACAGTTGGCGCCACATGTACTCGGATCATGGAAGGGGAATCTGGGCGCAGGTCCGTTCAGTCCCTCGGGCCTAGCGCGCTTCCCGCCGGTCAGACAACGGGTAGTCCAACGACATGGAGTTGAGGCTACAAAGTAACAAACAGGAGGGGCTCATAGTTGTCTCAGCAAGATCACGAGTGGTCCCGTACAGTAGCACACTAAGTGTCATGAACTCGTGTAAGAACTAAAGAACCCGACCACGATCGATCGGACACCCTGATACAGGCATCGTGAATGGACGGAAAGCATCCCTGCACCATTCATGGCATGCTACGCCGGGCCGTTCCCTGAGCCAAATGGGCTGAATGCGTATTGCACGCCCAAATCCGAAAGAGACGGGCCACCATTCTGCAGAAGCACCTTGGAATTGTCCGCGGTGCCAAAGTAGGCATATCTCTCCACGCACGCGTTATTGTCCAAGAAAGGAATGGCCTTTTCGAGAAAGGCGGCTTGTTCGTCGTCTGACCCAAAGCCCTGGAACTAGTCGAATATTTAGTATCGGAGCAAGTCGTGCACACGCGGCCGCGACCCTTGAAACAAACGTACTTCTGTAATCCACACGGGGCGGCCGTCCCCGAGATCGCAAATCTTGTTGACCCAGTCCTCCAAATCAAACTCGATGGAATGGTCGTTGTACCAGTGAATCGGAATGAAGTCAATGTGGCAGCCACTGCATGCTTGCAGAAACTGGGAAAGCCACTCGTACCCATCGTTCGACACGGAAGGTGCTCCAAGCTTCGCGACGCCGGAGAAGTCCTCCATCCAATCTCTCCAGGCGTCGACCGCCTGAGAGACGGACAAGTTTGACTGGCCTTGCTGCTCGGGCTCGTTGAATCCTAGCAAATGCTGTGCCGAGTTCGATACCCACCACTGCGCATTGGTTCGCCACTGCGCCGTATGAATGTTCGCGGGTCCCCAGAGCATGGGAACAAACTCAGCAAAGTCTTGTTTCTGCTTGGTATCGCTGTCCCAGTTGTACTGCCATGTTACCTGTGACGGATTGCCGTTCCATTCGCCGCCAAACCCCGATATTGGTACATCGTCGTTCGCAGCCAAGCCGCGCTTGCCCGAGCCCAGCGCAGTCGAAAGGAGGACGGAAAGGACCAGAGACTGGCGTAAGAACATTGTGGCAAAACGGTTCAGCCGTCGGGTCAGTAATTTGTTCTTTACTTTCTTGTCCACAGCATTCGCCTATCAAAGCAGAACCTGCCGATGCACTCTTGAACGAGAGGTTTTGGACCGAAGAGAAGAAGTCATTCTTGCCTTTTATGTTGCGTTCTATAATCTCTAATTTTATTAGGCTACTGTGCTGTGTGCTGTACGTTATAACATGTCTAAACTCCTCGCCTGGCCCTTGACTGTGCATTCAGGGATCAGGAGTCATGTAGACTCTGCAGATGTCTTCCATCTGAGCAAGTTTCACGACATCAAGTCGAACTGTTCCTGGACGGACTTACCAAAAGGACCGACTTGGAGTGAATGGGTTCGGGCCCAAAGGGTTATCAAAAGGGCCGACTATACTATGCAGAGGGGCTGCTATGTAAGGAGAAGGACCGACGCTCAGACCCTGCGGTCTCTTTCTACGCACGGCCGGTGAGCTGGGACGCGACCAGCTTCTACGCATTGCTGACGATTTCAGTGAAAGGTCCGACTCACATTGACAACCAGTTACATCCGACGTTCTCAGCCCTCACCAAACGCGTAGTGTTTCCAAAATTCCTCAAGTACAGTACGAAGATGTGCTGGTCCTATGGCAAAGAGCTGCGTTGTATGCATGGCGGGGCTGCGACAGGGAATCCTCATTGACTAGGGTGAGAAGGTGAGTTCATCCTCCAGCACAAGCCTTATTGCCCTCTCGCGCAGATTCAACGGAGGTTCTTGACCTTTCTAGCTCTTGGACCTGATCCGGAACTTCGCGTTGCTGGTCCGTGGTGACAGTCTCGTGGCGTGGGTGTCTACTCTGTTGGCCCGCATCGTGTCAACCATGACCTGGATCGCAATAGAGGAAACGACCGAGAAGTGTTGCCAACCGGGGCCGCTATTTCGCCGGGATGAACTGGCAATGCCGTTCGGCGGCTCGGGCCCGGCTACGAGAACAATGGGACTTTAACATAAAAGGGAGAAGGTTCTCGAAGGAGCTTCCGTCCCTGCAACGCAGATCATTCGTCTATTGAGCTAGACTGTACATACAGCACAGTTTTGTACAGTACTCTCAAGTCCTATTGTATCAACATGGTCAAGTTGTGTCTGTCCATTGCCGCTCTCTGCGGCATCGTTGGCGCCCTCCCCAGTGTCGATCCGATCTTCACGCGTCAATCCCTCGACAAGACTGATGTCAACATTGTATCGTCCAAGGCCAGTCCTGAGGGCCATTTCAAGGCGTACAAGACGGGTGGACTGAGACGTCTCGGCGCCAAAAAGGACAAGGAGAACGAACTCAGCAAGAGGTGGTCGTGCAACTCGTCGCCAACGTACACCTCTGGCGACAACGATAATGGCGGCAAGGGCGTGTCGATCCATAACAGCGCCTCCGAGACGCAGTGCTTCTACATTTTTCATAACAACTGCGACACCGTTCCGTGGAAGTACATCTGGGTGAAGCCTGGCGAGACCCGGTTCGTCTCATTCCCAGACCAGTGGGAGGGCCGTATTCAACGCGGCTTGGACGAATACATGCTCAGGGGCACGGCGGAGTGGTTGGGCTCTTGGTTCGAGGTGAGCTGGGACCAGAACGGCTGGGGCTGGGCCGATCTGTCTCTCATCCGCGGCAACGACGGCGGCGTTATGCTCACGTCCGGGGACGGTTCCAATGCCAAGAGGGGATACTCGCAGTGGGTCTTGGACGGTGCACCCAACGACGCCTACGCCCAGAAGTCCGACGGCGCGTGGGTCATTTCGGCGACTGAACGGCTGGACGGATCGATTGCAACAGCTGCGCGGGACTGGAATCTCGCCAAGGTCGGCGCGGAGAATGCCTATTGCGATGACTATCACGGCCACCCTGTCATTGCAGCGACGAACGGTCGTTTTAGCACTGATTGGCCTGCTGGCAGGGCTTAGAGCGGCCTTCCAGGGGGTCGACACCAAAGTGACCAGACGGGTATGCCTCGGCCAGGCATCACGGCCGCACTCGCCAGAGCGGGCGATCTAGGACACGCACTATCTCCCGTCCGAGGGTTGTTCAATGTATGCATCTGATTCTTGCACGAAAAAGGTTCGCTGCATACACTGTGACGTGAGTAGCGTGACCGCCGTACATGGCGGCAGTAGTGGCCAGTATTTCTCTTTCCTCCATCATTATCCATTGGCGCGGCATGACCTGAGCCAACGGCCGTTGCTAATGGTCAAACCGGAAGTCTAGCCGCTTGTTGCCCTGATCCGTTGTCGTGGAGAGATACTCGAGCCTTTGTTCCGGCGTCATTGCCTCCCACTTGCGATCTCGTGTTTTGTTCCGCCACACGTAGTACACCTTGACCAAGACGTACACCACGAAGTTCATGCAGAGCAGAGCCAGCAGCTGTCTATTGCCACGAACATAGCGCGGCTTGTCGTCTGCATCACGTCAGCCAGGTCTCGATTGCAGGGTCGAACATGTGCAGGGAGCGAACCATTGCGATAGATGTTGGATGATATGATGCCCCCGGCCTGGACAAACATGTTGTAGCAGGCCGCCGAGACGGTGCGGGACCGAACAGCGTTGGAGTTGCGTGAGTTCCAGGCGACTTGGATGGGATGGGCTACGAAAGTTCACTATTAGCGTACGCCTCCATCGTAGAGCGGGGAATGGCGCCTTGTAATACCGTTTGGATAGCCAAGCAAGAGCGTGACAATTGTCCAGATGACCCATTTATTGGCCGTTGCAGTATTAACGACGTTCATGTAGATGAGGAATGGGAAGGCCCAGAGCTGACCGAGCAAGGCGACGAGGGTGAGCTGGCCCGTACGCTCGGACAGGTAGGTCAAGGCGACCATGGTCAATACTGCTTTCATTAGTTCTTGTCCCGTGGTGGAAAGTACCCCGGTCTACATACTGTGAATGACAGTATAGGGAATGGTCAGGAGATTCGTCTCGAACGTGTTGAAGCCCAGTCCTTTTAGTGTGAGTGTTAAGTACTGTTGAACAGGGGTCATAGGGATCTGGAAGATGAGCCCGAGAATATAGAGTGGCCTACAAGATTAGCATTGATCCGTAAAGTTGTTCCAAGTCTCCTTACCAGAGATCGTAGTCCTGTAAGCTTTGCCAGAGCAGCTTAGGCGTGACGGGCTCGCGGTTATGCATCGAGCTCTTGCTGGGATCCTCCCGCAGCACCCGGTTGACGATGATTTTCTCCTCACTGATTGGTCAATCAGGTTTCTTCCTGTATTTCAGGGGCTTCTGGGCTCCTACCGCTCTGTGAACCAACCCTTCTTGCCGCGGAACCAGCTAGCCGTCTGGCAGGGCCCTGCCGGCATGAGCAGCCACGACATGACACCAATGATGAGAGTCAAGAGGCCCTTCTTGGTGTCAGTCGAAGCTCACTGAAGGCAACACGTTTGCCAGACACCGAAACAGAATAACTCACCTCGATGAGGAAGAGCCACCGCCAGCCCGAGCGGCCCTCGACACCCCGCATGCGCAGCAAACCATAGGCAAAGATGGCGGAGAGGATGTCGGCTATGCTCATGGCTGTCCAGAAGAAGCTCAAGCGGATGGAAAGCTCTGCGTGCTTGTAAAAGTAAGAGAGGTAGATGACAATCTGAGTCCGTTAGCGGCATGCGTGGTTAACTCGGATGAGAGACGCGGCATACATCCGGGATAAAGCCACCCTGTAGAATGCCGAGCAGGGCACGCGTCACGAGAAATGATTCTCGGCCTGAGAGCCAAAACTGGCTGCCGGCGACGACGCTCCAGAGCGTTATCTGCAGAGGGATCCAGCGATCTGGACCCATCCACTTTGAGACAAGCTGGGACGGAAGCTCAGCGCAGAGGAAGCTGAGCTTGAACACGGTGTTGCCCAAGTTGTAGTCTTGACTCAGTCAGCTTGGAGAAACGTGATCTGGGCTGGGTGACCTTACCGTTTGTCGTCATACCCAGGTCTGGGAGGAGCTCATCGGTTAGGGCCTGCGAGATGTTCGCGCGATCAAGTTCGAGAGCCATGAACATGATGCATGCCCAGACCATGATGTAGAGGTCAACCTTGCGCACGAGTCGGAACTCTTCTCTCCACGTCCATCTGAACAACGGATCGAAGCGATGAGTGTTCTCCCTAGACTTTGTATGAGCGTGCTGTGCTCGGCGGCTGCGCGGAGAAACGGCACGTACCAGTCTGGTCTGGGATGATACTTCTCCGCCGTGACGGGATCGTCAAAGACGCTTGCCTAACGACGTTGTGAGACTTGGGCGCTGTCGTCTGGTGAGACGAGACCACCTCACCTGTGTAGCGACGGCATCCCGGTCTATAAAAGGCGAGCGCTGAAACCACGACTTCTTCTCCTCTGTCGGGGCGCCGAGGGGAGGGATATTGCTGTTTAACGATGTCGTCGAAGCCGACGAGCCCCCTTTTCCCAAGCCGCGAGCAAGGACTGTAGCCATGTTGTCTACGACGCAACTGCAATGTCTCGCGATACTGGTCACACTCACGGCCTCTTCTATGCCCGGGGAGACAGCAAGGTATAAATGTCTCCTTGGTCAGGAAGCCGCGCCGAGGTGTGTTACGTCTGGATCCACGCCGCGTACGCTATGGCAGCATGGTATACCGCGGGCTAGACCGATTGACCGTAACGACGCGCGACAAGAACCAACAGATAGTGGGCGCTTCACTCATTGGCATCAATCCGTCTTGTTAGGTCAGGTCTGGGTCCAGGCTCTGCGCGGCTTTGCCTCTGTGCTACCAAGCCTTGCATCGCAGCTCCTTGTAATCGTTATTGAGGCGCCGGATGGTGAATCGGCGTAGCCATCTATCACGTCAACCAGCGGCACCGTAACCAACGGCTCAATACTTTACATGGCAGATAAGCTGGCTTTCCACTGAAATGTCCGCCGTCGCATTCCCCTCACGCATCATGGCGTGGCAGTTCGAGGCTAGTAGGATTGCGTGATGGCATCACAAGGTAAACACCCTGTTTCGTTGCGCCCCATCTTCACTCGCGACTTCCAGTGAAGAAAGGCGTGATAATAAGCTGAGCATACTCAAGTGTGCCGTTAATCCCGCAAAGTCCGCTCGCATTATTCTCAAGCTGACCCAGGGGCGTGTGGCCCGTGTCGTCGGTGTCGCTGCGGCCGCGCATGGTCGGCGGCTTGGCTAACGACAGCACCTCATCACATCACCACCACGCGCGAGCACGACTTGACGCAATCAGCCTACTGGGCGACTATCTCTTTTATCTATCCGAGGCAGGCGACCGCCCGTCTGTTCACTCGACGGACCGACGCTGCCACAAGACCGACTTCCAGGTGTTGACTGCGACTGATGGCGTGATTCCGCGGGGGAATTGGCACAATGCATCTACATGCTAGTTTGGGTCGGATTACCAACGACCTGGCCTTCATGCAATAGCAGCACTTGAGCTTGCGACGTCTCATGAAGCCATTCGAGCCCGTGGGTGAGGGGAAGTGTCGATGTTGTAGCATGTATGCAGCGAAAAGCGTGATTCTGTCTGGGAACGTATCGGTGCCGCGTCGGCGAGTGTCTCGACAGGATCCGGGGTGGTCGCGTATATAAACATGATGATTATGCCCTTGCTGCAGCCGCAAGTTGCTCAACCAAGGCATCCAAGACAAACGTCATCATACACTCACATCATGGCTCCCGCAGTAGTCGATGCTCCTCCGGCCGATGTTCCCGTCATCACCAAGGCGGCGGCGGCGGCGACCGCACCCAAGCCGGTGAAGGCCACCGGTGTCTTGGACCAGTACGAGTCGTTTGACGTGACGCCCGTCATCGGCCGCGAGTTCCCCAGCGCCAAGCTGGTTGAGTGGCTCAATGCCCCCAACTCGGATGAGCTCATTCGCGATCTCGCAGTGACCAGTACGCTCTCTCACTCTCCACGACGCTGTATAGGGGGTTGAGCAGACTGCAAGTAGAGAGCTAACTCGGGCCACCCGACAGTCTCTGAGCGCGGCGTTGTCTTCTTCCGCGCCCAAGATGACCTCACCAACGACCTACAGAAAGAGCTGATCCTACGCCTTGGCAACCTGGTTGGGCGCCCCGAGACGTCAGGCCTTCACATCCACCCCGTCCTCAACTCGGAGCGTGAGCTTGGTGGCAGCGATCCGGAGATCAGCACCATCAGCTCTGTTCAGCACGAGAAGCTCTACAAGTCGACACGCGCAGACGAGCTGAGCCCCAAGAAGCAAAAGACGGCGCAGTGGCACAGCGACATTGCCTTTGAACCGGTGCCGGCGGACTACACGTCCCTGCGGCTGGTCCAGCTGCCAAAGACAGGTGGTGGTACGTGTGCAATCTCGCCATACACGCGCAGGCGGGCGATCGAACTAACGCCTCCCCAGACACCCTTTGGGCTTCCGGGTACGAGCTGTACGACCGCCTCAGCGAGCCGTACCAAAAGTTCCTTGAGTCCCTCACGGCCACGTTTGAACAGCCCCGGTTCCGTGAAGTGGCCGAGAACGCAGGCTTCAAGCTCTATGACAAGCCTCGTGGGGCGCCAGAGAACGTCGGAACAGAGCTCAAGGCCGTGCATCCTGTCGTCCGTACCAACCCAGTCACCGGATGGAAGAGCCTCTTCCCCGTCGGCGGCCATGTTCGACACATCAACGGTGTGACCGAAGAGGAAAGCAAGCAGCTTCTTGACTGGTTCCTCGACCTCGTGTACCATAACCACGATCTGCAAGTACGGCTGAAGTGGCAGAACCCCAACGACATTGGTACGTCTGCGGTCCTTGTTCGCATATGACACCCCCACCCCCCGCAAGACAGATTCACGTTCTGACTCCATGGGCAGCCATCTGGGACAACCGCAGCGTGTTCCATAGCGCCACGTTCGACTACAACGAACAGGGTGAGCGTTTTGGCAACAGAGCCGTCGGCCTGGGCGAGAGGCCGTACCTCGACCCGCACAGCACATCGAGGCGCACCGCCTTGGGACTGAATTGACCAGCGACTGGTTGAACTTGGGTCGAGCGGGAAGTAAGGGTCGGAGTCGGTACACGCGGAGTATTGCTGCGGAGATGACTTGGCGGCCCAGAATGTCTACTGTCTATTACATCCAACCAATCTTTCTCCAGAGAAATACCGTTCCGCTCATGGCCGCCGTTGCTCCGGTAAAGGCAATCAGCGGTCCGTATCCCGAGCCGTACGCGCCGAGCGCTTTGCCCTGCCACGGCAGCCCCTTGATGAGTACCTGACTAAGGGGCCCCGAAACTACGCTTCCAATACCACGCCCCGTGGACAAGACGCCGAGCACCATTGTCGGGTCGAACGTGCCGCGCCCGGCGCTCCCGGCGACCGGCTCCGACGTGATTTGTTGCATGATGCCTGTCCATGCTGACGTGTAGGAGCCGGCAAAGAGCCCGTATATAATGCAGTAGACAAAGAGCAGCGGCAGCGACGTGGCGAATCCCCAGAGCAGGAATGTACCCAGCGCGGCACCAGTCGCAGAGAGGAGCAGGCACGTCGTGACATGCAAGTGATCCGTCAGGGAGCCCATGACGGCGCAGCCAAATACGGATGCCACGTTGACGAGGAGGATGGTCAGCGCCGAGGGAAACGGGCCAGCGCCTATCGAGGTCGCGTAGGTCGGGAGGTAGATGCCGGGAAGGAAGAACCCCAACGCCTGAATCACGTTCGCGGCCTGATGCAGCAGGAACGTGCGGCGCAAGGCAAAGCCCAACTTGAACGGCTTGATGTGTTGGGTCGCTGTCGGAGGCAGCCGCGGCTTGATAAAGTACGCCAAGGGCAGAGTGAGAACCAGTAGGGCGACCGCCCAGATGCGAAGAGTTGTTCGGAACCCCCAGCGACCAAGTAGGTACTCGAGTACCAAGGGCAGGATGAAGCCGGCGAGCCCGGTGCCGGACCACATGGTGCCATAGGCGAGTCCCTTTCGCTTGACGAACCACTCGTCCATGTAGAGGAGGCACGGGCAATACGAGACAGAGCCACCGAGAGCGTACAGCACGCCCTGGGTGATGATGAGATGGGTCGTGTTCTGCGAGAAGGAGGAGGCGGCCAGGGAGAGGCACATGACGAGCAGGCCGATGACGGGCGACCATCTGCTGAAGCGGGGATAAAGGCGCTGGACGCCCATGACCAAGGGGATGTCAAGGTACATAATGCCCTATGGTGGACACGACGTTAGCAGAGGGCGGGCAGGGAGCCTAGGTGTGCCACGAGAGGGACGACTGGACGCACCATGGCGCACGTGCCGATGATGGGGATCGACGAGGAGCCGGCAAAGGGGTCGTGTGTACTGTAGTACTTTTGAAAGACGCCAAACGCAAAGGGAAATCCTGGGTTCGGGCATGTTAGCGGCCGATGTTGCTGCCGCTTGGGAAGAAGAGCAGTGGCTAGAGGGCCGGGAACAGTAAGAGGATAAGGAGGCTCATGATGACCACGTACCCCACGTCAGAGCCTCGATAAAGATGCACGCCACGAGGAAGAACCAAGCGTGCTTGCCCCGGTCCACGGGCGGCAGGGAAAACTCGGGCCTGGTCGTCAGGTGGCCGTCCGAATCGTCCTCGACACGCGCCGCCGTGTCAGCCTCTGCCGGCGTGGACGACTGCGTGGGCGACTGCGTGGGCGACTGCGTGGGTGACTGCGTGGGTGACTGCGTGGCGGCATTTCTGTCGCGGAGTGCGAAGGAGCTGCCTGCCTCCATGTTGTCTCGCGGCCTCGACCACCGTCGGTGGCGCGTCTGCACGAACAGTCCCAGGTGCCGGTCGAGGAACCTCTTGCCGGAATGAAAGGTCCATAGTCCCTCGGACTCCTCTGACGCCATGGCCGGGCCCGGGCTGCCTGTGTAGCCGGCGGCTTGCCTCGGGCGGTGATGTTGAGGGTGGTGCCACCTGCTGGTGCGCATGTCGGGCATCGTGGAAGTACGATCCATGACAAGCCGCCGCGGATATGGATCCGCTTCCTAGGAGCTCGTCGCCGTGGCAAGCAATCAAGTCAGAAGATTCAAGGGCGCCCCACCCACGGGACACAGCCGATGCGACTCTTTTCGTCGTCTTTGCTGCCCTATGCCGGAAGAGGAGCTGCCGGCGTTGCGGCGACATACACAGGGTCGGCGACATGTCGAATGTTTGTAGGTTTAAATCCTCGGTGCGATGGCGCTCCACAACGGCCACCTTCTCCACCGCAAAGACGAGCACCCACCAGCAAGGCGCAATTGACGCGAAGCCAAAAGGCGCCCTTGTCAGCACCGGTGGGTTCCGCTGTGACGGTCCATCTCGCGCAGCACCGCGCGCACAACCGTGCATGGACTTGAAGTTGTATCCGCCTCCCTACCTCGGAGGACGAGGTGAGGGAGGGCGTGGCCCGTTGTCATGGCGGTGGCACGGTTGTGTTGATCGAATGGTTGACAACCCGCCACAGCTCGCGACGCGCTAAAGAAACGGCTCAATAGTATTCATGTTGTTTTGGATACGCGCTGCTATGCCTCCCTCCCCAGCCCATCCATAAGCCCACGTCTCTGGAAACGAACGAGCGAAGCAACAAGGCAGAGAACCCTCCCATCCAGCAAATAATTCCATCAGCGAGCCTCGGCAAAGCTTGCCACCCGGCATGGAGACCGTTGTCGCCGTACTGGACCCGGCTCCTCGTCCGGCTCAAGCCGCTCACCGGCGCTGCTGCCGTTGCTCACCCTCCCAGGGCCATGCCAGCCCGTACAGCCGACGTCATGCTTTGGCAGAGAGACCGAGAGACCGCTGGTCTCTATCCCACTCGCGCCCACGACCGAGTCGTTCACCACGCGTTGCGGTCCCAGTTCGGATCTGCTTGCCGTGTCAGCCCAGCACAGCGAGTGCACCGTCGTGGTCGAAAAGGTAAGGGCCTACCCTGCACAAAGGCGGCGAGGACCTTGCTCCCCGTCTGCAGCAACGGGTGGCCGACGACAATCTTGAGGAACTTTTCGAGCCCCGCGCGACGGCCCTCGATAACATCGTCGCTGAAGCGATTGGTAAAGACCTTGCCCGGGAGCGGCGGGATGGTGACGCGCGCGCTCTCGCGCTCTAGAATGTCGCGAAAGTACTCAAAGTCTGAGTACCTCCGCCGAACGCTGCTCTGGCGCAGCTTGAAGGCGGGGATGTTGGTCCGGCACAGGATCTCGTAGTCGGTGTACATGTGTCGCCCGATGCCGTGCGTGCGAGGATTGCGGACCTGTGCGCGGCGTGTGGGTTGCGCCCGTCAGCAACGGCGTCATGTTGGGGCTCTCCTCGTCGGGCGCTCGCGCGCTCGCTCGCTCGCTCACCTCAATTTCGAGAAAGTTCTCGGGCGGCCCGTAGATCTCGTCGAAACTCTGCTGCCGCGTGTCGGGCATGGCCTGCATGATGGGCCGGTGGAAGTTGGGGCTCTTCGGAGACGTCGATCCCGCCTTGGTGGTCGTGCCGGCGGCGGCGGGCTCGTTGTCGCTGCCGGCGGCCCTCCCGGCGTCCTGCTGGCCAGACAGTTTGGCGGCGGCTGCCCGCGCGGGCGGCTGGGGTCTGTCGGCTGTGGGTGGTGGATTCGTCCCCGTCGCCGTCGCCACCGTCGTCGTCGTCGTTCGTCGGCGCGCAACGGTTTGGCCGCGCAGGCTCGATGGTACCGCGCTCGGGAAGTGGGAGGGGTACAAGCTGGCTCTGGCCAAACGGCGCGGCGGTCGGCGTTGTGCAGTAAGCTGGGTGAATCGTCGAGCGGAGGGAGACGAGGGGAAGAGGAATGCGCTGGTCGAGTGGTGCGTTGGCGGGCCAGAGACTTGGTGAGAGGCGTGGAGGGTTCGACGGCGAAGGTGGTGAGGTTCAGGTTCCCAAGGTTGACAAAGGGCCGCCCCCCTTGGCCCCGCGCCTGCTGCCCGGGCTGGGAGGGTCGGGTAGGTGGGGTTCGGGGGACGGACGCAGCTGATGAGGGCTGGAGGTGCGCCGTTACAGGTGCCACTGATGACGGGAGCCTGCCAACGCGCGCCACTGCCCAGGTCGGGTATACGAAGTACCTACCAGTACCGCCCATACCACCTGCTCGGTAGCGGTACTATCAAAAGTACCTTGATTTGGGTAGAGGTCCACGGGCACTTCCATCGTGCGATGTGCATCGGACGTCCCCGGACAACGAGGGCATCCTTTTCAGGCAGGCTCCAGCAATTTCGCGATTTCCCGTGGCCAGACCATCGCGGGCTCCCTCGTTGCTTTGTGGTGTTGCCTTTGTAGACTGGTAGAAACGGAAGCAACCCGGAGCCGGCGGCCGCTACCAAGCGGCCAGCACACGAGCACCCACCGTCAGTGTTGAACCCGTCAAACCCAGATCGACATGGCACGCGTACTGGGCACATCATGTCCATTTGGTTTACATGCATTATGTACATTGTGAAATTGTAGCCATCTCATCATCTTGTGGCCCAGTCGACGCCTCGAGGCTTGGAGAGCCACAGCAGCCATCTGCAATTTATACAACAATGCAAAACGTGCCCGGTGTCCTGCGCACGCCATGGCGTCCTTGCACCAAACAGCAGCCATCTGCCCAGCAAAGCACCCATCTTCGTGTCGCAGCCGGCCCCAGACAAGAGCATCTTGTGCCAGATGCCGCCCATGTCCGCCCCAGCCCACTGTGCGGGTCCGGCAGACAAGCCCTGGCGCCCATCGCGGAATAAGTCAGTCTGACGTCGCAGTAGAAAGAGCGCTGCAAAGGATGAGTTGCTGTATCAAACTGGCAATGAGCTTGTCCGCCTCACCTGTCTTCGTCTGCCCACTAGTGTTCGCCGCGCCCAGGGATGCGCTCCTTGGCCCAAGCCGCCCAGGGTCGGACGCCAGCCAGGTAGTATAATAGTGGTGAAGGAATTCCGTGGCGGGAGGACACGAGCCGCTACAACGCCAGCAAGCACGGCACATCCCAAGCCCTTCCATGCGCACGCTGCCTCACTTCTTGTCGCCCGCAAATTTTTGGTGTATGGCGCGAATCTGCTCCTCCACATTGAAGCTCTGCAAGTGGTCCATGTGCGCCTGGCTCTTGCCTTCAGGGTTGCCGTCAAAGCTGTTCATCGCCGCCTTCTTCCGCCGTGCCAGCTCGTCCTCCGAGATGGCCTGGCCCGTCACCGGATCGAACACGTCACTTCGCTGGCTCGCCAGTCGCTTGAGGTTGTTGGCCACGTCGGCGTGCGACACGTTCGCGTGCGCATATCGCGCTTCCGCTCGAGCCTTCTGTTCCTTCCAATGAGGGTCCAATAGCTCGACTGTGGGGATCGTTAGTTTTGGTGCAGATGCACAAGGGGAAGGGGGGAAGAAGGGGGTGGCAGCTCACTCCGCATGTGTTCGTCGAGCTCGTTGATGGGGATTTGCTGCTTGCAGTTTGGGCAGAGAGCCGTCTGCGTGCCTTGCCGGTTCGCTGCGCGCTGCGCGGCACGCGGCACGTAGTTCTCGCGGATCTTCATGGGCGCGTTGCCGCCACGAGCCTCTGCCTGAGCCTGCTGCATGCGCGCCTGCGCATCGGCTCTCTCTTGGATGCGGCGTGCCTCCTCCTCCTCCTGTGCAGACCTCACGGGCTGCATCGGATGGTATGGCGGCTGCATCGGGCCAGCTTGCTGGTATGCTTGGGTGGGTGCTGGGCTCGGGTGCGCCGGGAGCGGGTACGAAGGCTGAGGGTATCCGTTTTGCATGCCAAGCTCCTCGCCCGGCATGGCCTCCTCGATTCGAAGATTGGCACTGATAGATGCCTTGTTGCGGTCCTCGAGGGATGCGTACTGGAGGTCGGACAGGCTTGTGGGTGGCGGGAGATTCGCCGTCTCGTCGGCGTCTGTGAATGTAATGGTTTCGACAACCACAAAGTCACCCCAGTCTATTCGGGCAAACTCCTCGGCCTTTTGCACCTCTTCCTCCTCCCTCTTCTTCCTCTCCGCCGCCTGGAACTTGGCGTACTCTGCCCTTTGTTTGGCACGTTCAAGCACGATGTGCGGGTTCTTGGCAATCTCCCGCAGCTCGTCCATGAGCGACATCCTCTGCCTTGGGTCCTCATAGCACTTGAGAATCTTGGCGTACTGCTCGACCATGTGTTGGAAGAAGTTGTGGAAGGTGTGGTTGGGAATCAGGAACTGGAACTGCGGGTTGCCGGCCTCCCGTTGGGCCAGCTGGGTCATCCACTGACGGCCATGCTTAGCTGTGAACAGTGCCGTGTGCTTGAGGATGTCCAAGTCCTTTTGGTTGAGACGCGGCATCTTGGCCGAGAACTGGAATTCGGGTGGAGGGGGTGGTCCCTGGGGCTTCTCGGGTTTGGGCGTCTCGCCCGCTCGGCCGGCGGCGATGTCGGTGCCGCGACCCGCCCGAATCTCGCTGAGACGCCATTGGTAGTAGGGGAAGTAGGCGTCGGAGGCGTTTAGAAAGCTGAACTTGGGGTTCTGGCTCTCCTTGTCGCGGATGCGGTCTTCGAAGACGGCTCCGTTGCGAGCCACGTAGCCGGCCGTCTTCTCGAGGATGTTGCGGATCTCGCGAGGCGGAAGGACCACGCCTGCGGGTGGCTTGAGGTTGTCGAGTGCGGCGGATGCGTCGCCGTTGGCCACTGGAGTCGCCATGATGGTAGCGGCGCGGCGCGACGGTGTTGTGTTGGCGAGGTGCAGGACGTGTGAGGTAAGAAGGTGACGGGATCGGCGAGCTGTCCGCCTGGAAATTTCGAGTGACGCGCCTCGAGTAGCGAGCGAGACTGGCTGGCTCGCAGGTGCCGTTCCGGCCTGTGCAGATGGAATAACCGGAATTATATCGGGCCGTCCCAAGCACCCCTGCGTTGCTACTGAGTGCACTTATCATGTACAAGTACTCGCGCGCCACACCGGGCACGTGATGTCGTGGCGTCGCTGTACCTGGGGGGCTGAGACCTGGGGAAGGGGATCCATGAATGAAATCCATACCTAGGTTTGTGAGCACATGTCAGTGCGCCTCCTGGGGGACGGTCGCGGTGTGGTGGGACCATTGCATCCCGGATTGTGGGCTGCAATGTGTGCGGCTGATGGAGTGAGAATCCTGCTCTCCATCGCAGCCGAGCGTACGATGCACCCCGCAAGAAGCAGCACAGGATGTCATCTAGTTGAGAAGCGCTCCTGTGCCTCGACGCAACAGTTCCAGAATGCTCAGACGCTGTCAATACCTAGTAGTGCCGTAACGAGAGGCGTCTGTTCGAGGCAATCGCCGCCAGGTAGCACCTCCGTCGTCTTACATCGTTACCCTATTACTAGGTAGCCCACAGCTCCAGCTGGTTACTGGCCAATGTTCCACAATGTTGAAGGTGGCGCTCGCCGGCCGCGTTTGGTGGTGTCGCATCCTTCCTACTTAGAGAGGTACTCGCAAGAGCCAGCCAGCGACTGGCGCAACAGCAGTACCTCGCTAATACCTGAAGCGACGCGAACGCGCAAGAAAGCGTCTGGGGCGCGGCCATGCTCGTGTTCGACGAAGTCGCCAGTGGCCAATGGCGGGGCCGCTTGTGGCTGGCGGACGCGCTAGAAGTTCCTGTGCTGGAGCCCTGAGCGCTCGGCAGGGGGCGGGATCCATGGGCGAGACCTGCCATGAGGCAGCTGGGCGTGGGAGGTCCCTGGCAAGCGGCCCGGCGGAGGGCCCTGCCCCTGTGCTGTGCTCTCAGCGGAAGGCTCCAGGTTAGGTTGGATCTCCACACCGCGCGCGTTGCCGCTGCAGCGGACCAGCCAGGGGCTCGGGGGCGCTCGCGCCCGCAGCTGGAGGTGGCGGTACCCGCCACTAGCCAATGCGCAGACCAAGAGGCCACTGTGGCCGGGACGCTTCCGGCGACCGCAGCTGGTCGCGCGCAAACACAGGCGAGCGACGCAATGGAAACCCGACCCTTGGAAAGCTCGTGAGGGAGGTGAGGTGTCCAAATCCATCCAGCCATCCACAGCTGACCCCTTAACTCTCTTCGCTCCACGCTCTCACGGCCGGCGACTCCTTTCTTCCCGTCCCAATCATCCACCGACGACGGCCTCTCGTCTGTGCGGAGTGATTGATTGATTGATTGCGCCTTCTTTCTTCCTTACATTTAATTCCATCAACTCATGACGGCGCTGCTCCGCCCGAGGACCCCCGTCTGTTCCCTTCGCGACTCTCGTTAAACCATTCGTTCCCGTCTACAACTCCCGCCCCTCCTCAGCGTCGACAGGGCCCGACCGACCGACCGACCGACCTGCGCACGCAACCGCCTCGAGACATGGCCAGGCCGAGCTCCAGCCGGGGCAAGAGCCCCCAGCCTCCGCCGGCTCAAAAGCCCTCGCCGGCGACGTCGCCCGCGCCGCCAAAGAGCAAGGCCAAGGCCAAAAAGAACACCTCGTACAAGTCGGACGGCGTCGCCGACAATGATGTCTTCCTCCTGCCCGGCTCCGATTACGTCGTCGCCCTAGGTGTCACCGTCCTCGCCGCCTTGGTTCGCATCTTTCGCATCTACCAGCCCTCCAGCGTCGTCTTCGACGAGGTCCAGTGCGTTGTCCGCCCCATCGCCTCCCCCTCCCCCCTCCCTCCCTCTGGGCGCGCCTCCCGTCTACGCGCGTGCTAACATGCCATCAGCTTCGGTGGCTTTGCTTCCAAGTACATCAAGGGCAAGTTCTTCATGGACGTGCACCCGCCCCTCGCCAAGATGCTCATCGCTCTCACGGGCTGGTTGGCCGGCTTCGACGGCAACTTCGACTTCAAGGACATTGGCAAGGACTATCTTGAGCCTGGCGTACCCTACGTTGCCATGCGCATGTTCCCTGCTCTGTGCGGCATTGCTCTGGCTCCCTTCATGTTCCTGACCCTCAAGGCCGTCGGCTGTCGCACCATGACGTCTGCCATGGGCGCGGGCCTCATTGTCTTTGGTAAGTTGCCATATCTATCGCTGCGCGCAGGCGGGATCGGCTGCTGACGGGGCGGCGCGCAGAAAACGGATTGCTCACGCAGGCTCGACTGATTCTCCTCGACTCGCCCCTGGTGGCCGCAACCGCTTTCACCGCCCTCGCCTTCTCGTGCTTCACGAACCAGCACGAGCTCGGCCCTGCCAAGGCCTTCCAACCGGCCTGGTGGTTCTGGCTGGTCATGACAGGTCTCGGCCTGGGTATCACCGCCAGCATCAAGTGGGTTGGCCTCTTTACCATCGCCTGGGTCGGAGCCCTGACGCTGGTGCAACTTTGGGTCCTGCTGGGCGACAACAAGAACGTCACGCTAGTACGTCCAAACAAAAATAAACGGCACTTGCTGCCAAACCCCAAAGGGGCTCCGTTTACTGATAGATCGCGCAGCGCATCTGGGCCAAGCACTTCATGGCACGCGTCTTCTGCCTCATCGTCATTCCCATCACCTTTTACATGGCCATGTTCGCCATTCATTTTGTCTGCCTGGTCAACCCGGGCGACGGCGATGGCTTCATGAGCTCCGAGTTCCAGGCTACGCTCAACAGCAAGGGCATGAAGGACGTCGCCGCCGACGTTGTTCTCGGCAGCCGCGTCTCCATTCGTCACGTCAACACCCAGGGCGGCTACCTGCATTCGCACCCACTCATGTATCCGACCGGCAGCAAGCAGCAGCAAATCACCCTGTATCCTCACAAGGACGACAACAATGTCTGGCTGCTTGAGAACCAGACCCAGCCTCTGGGCATCGATGGCCAGCCCATCAATGGCACCGACGCATGGGACAAGCTTCCCGCGCCCGAGTACATCAAGGATGGCGCAGTCCTCAGGCTCTACCACCAGCCCACCCACCGACGCTTGCATTCCCACGACGTCCGCCCTCCCATCACGGAGGCTGACTGGCAAAACGAGGTCTCGGCGTATGGCTTCGAGGGCTTCGAGGGCGATGCCAATGACTATTTCCGCGTCGAGATTGTCAAGAAGAAGTCGGACGGGGCCATCGCCAAGGAGCGTCTCCGCACCATCGAGACCAAGTTCCGGCTCGTGCACGTCATGACTGGCTGTGTGCTCTTTTCTCACAAGGTCAAGCTGCCCGACTGGGCGTCGGAGCAGCAGGAGGTGACGTGCGCCCGCGGCGGCAGCATGCCCAACAGCCTCTGGTACATTGAGTACAACGAGCACCCGCTGCTGGGAGAGGACACGGAAAAGGTCAACTACCGCAACCCGGGCTTCTTTGGCAAGTTCTGGGAGCTCCAGCAGGTCATGTGGCGCACCAACGCCGGCCTCACCGAGTCGCACGCGTGGGATTCGCGTCCCGAGTCGTGGCCCATTCTGCGCCGCGGCATCAACTTCTGGGGCAAGCACAACACGCAAATCTACCTCATTGGCAACCCCATCATCTGGTGGGCGACGTCGCTCACCATTGTCGTCTGGGTCCTCTTCAAGGGCATCGCCGTCCTTCGTTGGCAGCGCAGCTGCAACGACTATTCGAGCACCACGTTTAAGCGCTTCGACTACGAGATCGGAACCTACGTGCTCGGCTGGGCGCTGCACTACTTTCCCTTTTACCTCATGCAGCGCCAGCTCTTCCTGCATCACTACTTTCCCGCGCTCTACTTTGCCGTCATCGCCCTGTGCCAGATGTTCGACTACCTGACGGCCCGCATCCCCGGCGTTGGCTCGCGCGACAGCGCCGTCGTCAACAAGATCGCTGCCGTCAGCTTCCTGGCCGTGTCCATCGCCGCCTTTACGCTATACGCGCCGCTCGCCTACGGCAACCACTGGACCAAGGGCGAGTGCAGCCGTGTCAAGCTCTTCAACACCTGGGACTGGGATTGCAATAACTTCCTTGACACCGTAAGTGACTCCACGGTCATTCCCCAGCGGCAGCTCCCGCAACGTGGCGTCTGAGCCAGAACGACTCGAGAGAGACAAACACGTGCGAGGGTAGGCCCCCCACTAATGTGAACTTGGACATAGTATGAGGCGTACTCGTCGCAACACGTTGTCGATGTCAGCAGCTCCGTGACGGGCGCCGTACCGACGGCCGACGTGTCGGGCAACGTGGGCGAGCTCGACAAGGACGCCGCGCAGGACAAGGCCAACGAAGAGGCGAAGCCGTCGTCCCCCCCTCCGGAGCCCAAGGTCGTGTCCAAGGAGGAGCGAATCGAGTACCGGGATCAGGACGGCAACATTCTCAACGAAGAGCAGGTCAAGGAGCTCGAGGGCAAGGTAGAGTTCAAGACCAAGTACGAGACGCGCACGCGCGTCGTAGACGACATGGGTAAGGAGATCCCCATGCCCGAGGGTGGGTGGCCCGCCGACATTGCCGGTGCCGGGGTCGCGCCGCCGCACCCGGACGTTGAGGGCGTCGACAAGGAGACAGTCAAGGCTGGCGGCGACGCCGCCAAGCCACCCCAGGATGCGGCCGCGAGCCGCGACGGCGAGAAGGAGTCGGAGTGGTCCAAGGCGAAGCCCGCCAGCGAAGGCCAGGAGGCCACCGGCCGCGACGAGCTGTAAGGCGCAGGCCAGGCTCGCTCGCACTGGGCGCGTGATGACGTCGCTGCTGTACTACCTACCACGTATCTAATATCACGCACGCTGATGGACGGCTCGGCCAGCGAGGAGGGAAGACGGTCACCGTGAATGATGGCTGGGAACAGAACGGTGTCGACGACGACAAGAGGGCGAGCGTTGCGTGGCTACCGTTCCCTCCCGGGCTCCCCCGCGGCACCGGCTGGCTGGCGAGCCCATGTCTTGGGCTCATACATCTAACTCTCTCATGTACTCTACCACCTACCTTTATAGTCGAACAACCCCTGTTGATGACGCCTGCGTGGCCTGCCCATGGCTGCACAGAGTCCATGATGTGCTCGGGACACGGCGTACTTATGTGTCCATATGCAGGATCCGCGACATCCAGCTTCTTCTGTTTTTATTTACTCTTCTTCTATTACTACCCCTCAAGCCATGGGAAGGCGCAGGTGCCAAGATACTCGTACAGGTCATGCCAAGGGTAAAACACTCGTCCCGTCCCGTCCCGTCCGTCGTCTCGCGCCAACACCGTGTGTATGTAGGCAGAAAGATAAACGTGGTCCTCTGCAACTGCTACTACCCCAAACGCCTGGAATGCACAAATCAGCCGCGTCTCCTCTTCCATCCGGGCCCGACATGGCACGGCCGGCGAGCCTATGAACCATACGGGCCAAGACTACCTGTTATACACGTGTGTAATCTACTGTTATGCTCTCGAATGATGTGATGTGTACTGGCTCGCTCGTCTGCATCAGTCTGCAACGGACGGCGTCGCAGGCTGCTGCGGTGCGTCGTTGGTCGATTCATGCGGGTGCGTCGACTTGTCGTCGTCGCTTGTGTTGCCATCCGTCTGCTCGGGTGGGGTCCGGGGCTCCTTGGGCTCCGCGCCATGCGTGGAGGCAGCGTCAGCATCAGGCGTCGTTTCGTTTTGCCCGTCCTGGGGCCTGGCGGCGCTCGCGCGCTCGTCCGACGAGAGAGTAATCCCAGAAACCGGCAAAGGCCCGGCGCGTTCTTCGCTGCGCCGTGACTCCTTATCAGCCGCTGCCGCAGCCGTCGTGGCAGCCGCAGATGGCACCCCTGCTTGGGCGGTTGGGACGACGCCGCCACCGATGCGGGCCCAAAACATGTGCTCGCGCAGCTTGACACACTCCTCCCAGGCTGCCTTCTCGTGATTCTCGTCATCCGTCTTCCAATGGCCGTCCCGAACCATGCGCAGGAAGCCCAGGAAGTCACACGTGGAGCGGACGCGTGCCAGGCAGTAGTTGCACAGCGGGTAGCGCTGCGCCGACTCCGCCTCGCTCGTACGGAATCGATGCCTGCGCAGGTGTTCCTCGTCTTTCCTCGCCTCTCCACACAACGAGCACGGGTAGTACTGGGGTCTGGCGGCGACGTAGGTCGTGGCAACCTGCGGCACGGGCTCCACCACCAGCGAGCCGTCGGCAATCGCCGCCAACACGGATCTTCGCGCGAGCCACGATAGCCCCGGTGCCGTGTCCAGGCGGAGTGTGGGCTCAATGTCCTCGGACAGGACGCGCTTGTAAAATTTGGTGTCCTTGAGGTTTGGTATCGGGGCACCCCCGAGACTGGTGGAGCCCATGCTGGCTGTGGACGCGGGCGTGTTGGGCGACTGGGGAGCGCTGCTGCTCGCTGTTGCGGTGCTCAACGAGGCTGTCGATGCGTTTTGGTGGGCGCTAAAGGTGGTGCCGCCGCCGCCGCCGAGGCCAAGGGTCGAAGACGCCAGCCCGCCCATGGAGCCCGAGGAGATGCGACTCCCACGCCGCTGGTGTGACAGGTGGGCTAGGGTCATGAAGTCCTCGAATGAGCCCAGATCGACGCGCAGCACGGGCTGGAGGAGGTGCTGCAGGCTCATGGGGGGACACGGGGCGTTGCTGTCGGCGGAGGAGGCGTCGGCGGGTGGCGGGAAAGCAGCGGCGACGGCCTCTGCAGCGTCGAAGCGAGGCGCCCCGGGGGAAGGCGGCGCCGTCGTACCCGTCGTCAAGTCGTCGCGCTCCGTGGCCATATTCTCCAAGACTTGTTTGAGCTCGGACAACTGTTCCTGCTGTGACTTGAGCAAGCTCTCCGAGTCCGTGAGCTGCGCCTTGAGTTGGTCGTTTCTTCGCTGCAGCGCTTCGTGCTGGACCTGCGCCTCCTCCTTGGCCCCAATGACCATCTTGTTGGCCTCCTCGAAGAGTGCGGCTGTCAAGTTCTCGAGCTCTTGTTCAATCTTCTTCTTTTCCTTCTCGACATCCAGCCGCTTGGCCGTCTCCTCGGCGAGTCGTGCCTGGATGAGCTTCTTGTCCGCCAGCATGGCTTTCCGTTCGTGATCGAGGCTCGATTTGCGGACCCAGACATCGCCCGCCATCATGTCCCGCTGCGACTGGTTGCGGCGCTCAAGCTCGCGTATGCGGTCGCGGGCGGATTGCAGCTCGTGCCGAGTCGCGGACAAGGTATCGTCGAGGACGGTCTGGTGGTTGATGGCGTTGATGAGCTTGGTGCTCAGGGTTGCCACCTCGTCGGTTAGGTCGGGGTGCTGGGTCGGGATCGAGTTGGAGCGTCCGTCATCGCCGGCCGAGTCGGAAACGCGTCTCCGCGGGTCGGGCAAGGTGCTCATCTCATCGCTGCCCCCGAGGATGGGCGCCGAGAGGGACGCCTTGAGCGAGGCCACTGGCAGCTGCGACGTCGACGACGACTTGGGGAACGGACCCGTCTTGGGGGGGCTGGGCGAAGGGGGGGATGACACCGAGGTAGTATGGGCGACGGAGGAGAGGGAGCGGAGATGACCAAAGGAGCGGCCTGATGACGGCCGCGAGGAGGGCTGATGGTGCTGAGACCAGCCAGCGACATGGATGAAGCTGGACAACATGTTAGCCACGGCATGTATGCTCTCGTGCCGGCGTCAGAACATCGGGCGTGGCGGGCGAGACGCCTGGCAGGTAACTTAGGCAGTCGAGGGCTCCAGTGTCTCGGCCAGCAAAAGCGCGAGTGAGACAATTGGACGTCTCGCAAGACATGCTATGCTGGCAGGGACGAGCGAGAGCGGTGTGGGCACAGATTTTGGCGAAAGGGGGGAGGGGGATGGACATACGATTCCATGGTGGCTAGAGCTCAGAAGGAGCGAGAGTTGGTCACCACGGCCAGCGATGTGTCGAGGGCTCGGGTCTTCGTGAAGCCGGGCGTCTCGGTGGCGGCCGGCGAGGCAAGGACCAAAGGTTGGAGCGGAGCTGCGGCGCGGCGAGACGACGCGGAGAGAGGCCGAGCAGAGCAGAGCAGCGACGAAGCTCTGCGCCAGAGAGGTGAGACGGGAGCGCCGCGCGCGGCCGTCGCCAGCTGCACTGCTGCAGCTACTGTAATGACCGCGCAGCACGGTGCAGCACAGCAGTTACTGCAGCTGGTATTGTCCCGCCGCCGTACGTCTGTCGGTGGTCGGCCGGTGTTGGTCCCCTTTTTTCGTCGCAACCCAACAAGCTCGGAAGCTGGCTTCGGCCCAATCAAAGCTGGCAATGGGATGGGTGGCGGAGAGGAGCCCAGCGCACGAGGGCGGCAGTCAGAAGAGGCGGGTAGGAGGCGGGCTTGGACCACGGTGCATGGTGGGAGCCGTGTGGGAAAGCCGCCAGCCAGCCACGGATGGCGATGGGGGGAGATGGCAGCAGCACGGGCCGCGCGGGTGTCGATGCTGTTAAAGGAGGCGAGGCGAGGCGAGGCGAGTTGAGGTCAGAGCAGACTGGGTGGCAGTGCGGCCCTGAAACGATTTCGCTGTCGCGGGCGTGGCGGACGGGATCCTGTTCCTCGGCTTGCTCCTGGCCGGAGGTGAAGAGCGCGGCGACGAAAGACGGCTTGCGGATGGGGAGGCAGCGGATGAGGAAAGAGGCCTTGGGCGGCACCAGCAGGTCGAGGCGCGCGCGACGGCTCGTGACCGGGGGGGGCAAGGCGAGGCGTTGCGAGGCGATGCGAGGTGCGGCAAAGTGAGGTGAACTGTGAGGTGACGAGAGACTGCGGTTGGGTCGGGCTGCGGAGAAAATGGAGAGATGTCCGGGCGAGCGAGAGCGACATCCACCTCATGGATGCTGGGGGGCCAAGCAAACCTAAGAGAGAGCGCGCAAAGGGAACCAGGACCGCCCGGCGGCAGCGGAACCGGGGCCTGCCCGGGCCGCCGACTGGGCCGCCTATAGGGCAGCTGCAGGTGACGCTGACGCTGGATCCATCCGCTGTGAGGCCCACGGGTGCCGAATGCGACAACGGATGACGCTGCCAAATGCCCTCCATGGTGCCCAGGGACCACGGGGGGCCGGCTGGGGAGGAGGGCCCGGGGAGGGCAGCGACGCCAGTGGCCAGCTCAGCCGCCGTCCAGGACTCGGGGGGCGTGCCTGGGCGCGGGCGTGGAGCCCGCAGTGACGGGAGGCACCCAACCTACCCAACCTTGGAAGCGCCCAGTGGATTTGAACTGTTGCTGGCGGGCACTGCAGACCTGCTGGAGGCAGGGATCGCTACTGCTAGCATGCGGTAGCGCCTCTTGCCTCCGCCGTCCGCTGCCGCACTGCCCGGGTTCACCTCAGGCGAGCAAGGAAGCTAGGTTTGCGCGTGGCCCTGTCCTGTTTGTTAGCGCCTGCCCTGTTGTTGAGCCGGGGCCGCCGCCACCGTCGAAAGGCCAGACAAGGTTGCATCCATTCATCATTCATCCATCATCAACCACTCAACCGCGGCCAGCTACGCCTGCCGGCATCGACGACATAACCTCCCTGGCAAGGAAGGACCTGCCAATCTGGCACGGGCCGGGTGCCATCTTGTCGTTCGTTGCTTAGGGCCACGCGCGTCCAATGACCCCACCAGCGGCAGGGAATGGCCGGGCCTCACGCTGGCACCGGCCGACACAGAGGTGACATGCCGCCCTACAATGCACGTATTATGTGCAACATTGCAGTCTGGGGGTGCCGCCACACTCGTCGATTTGGTCGCAGCCGGCTGCAGCACGAGGTGGCCTCGACAGGCGCGAGACCGGGTCGCGTCGGGGCGATGGCTTGCACGGCGTAGGGCGGGATACCTAAGGTACACTTCGTCGATGGCCCTGGCAAGCCCTGGGAGGCGCGACATCTGCCCCCGCACGCCCCGGCTAGCGCCCAAATAGCCCTGGAGCCCCGCCCTCTGCCCCTGTCGGTGACGCCACAGACGCACCGTCGACGCGCGCACTTCCAGGTTCCATGTGACGGGAGGGAATGGGCCGGGTCTCTGGGACTCTGGGCTGCCATGGAAGCTGCTCGCTGCTCACTGCTCTGGGGCGCGCTGCTGGCCGCCGCCGTCAGCGCATCGCCGCAATCGCCCGCGATTCCAAACCACATTCGCGACGCGCTCGCTACCCTGCACCTTGCGGCAAGCCCTCACGAAGCGCAGCTCGTGCATGAAAGGTGCAGTGTCAAACTGGTTTTTATTTTATACTACTTTTTCTTTGACCTTTCTCAGAAAAAAAATCGCGCCGTCGTCATCCACTGCATTGCACGGAACACGGGCCGCGCCAGAAGAAAAGAATGAGAGAGAAAAAACTGCCCATGATACGAGTGCTTGAGCACTCAACGCATCATTCACGCGCGACTCGTCGTATCCGGCCACAGGCGGAGCTCGAGGTGGCTCGTATTTCACGACACAGGGGTCCGAGACACTGACGGGCAGACGGGCTACCAGGAACCGTGCCTGCTGAACGCGCGCCCCGCCGGCGTCCAGCCAACTTTGCTCGTTTGATGTTCAAATCACATGTTCAGCTCATCCCGAGTACGTATTTTACAGATCCTTTGTCCTCTCATCCGCCTCCGCGATCCACTGCCGCAGCTTCGCCTCGTTGCGCGCCCGCAGTCCCACCTTGAACGGCTTCGGGTCCATGGTCAGCGAAGTCGGCGTGGCGTTGGCCTCGATGGCGTCCATGATGGGCGCGTCCGCCGGGTCCCGCGCCGGCACAATCTCAAACGCCGTGATGATGCGCATGTAGGCCGTGTACAGCTCGCGGTTCGCCAGGTGCGACCCCGCGCACATCCGCGACCCCGCGCCGTACCCGTAGTGCGGCGTGCCCACCTCCTTGTCGTCGAGGAACCGCTCCGGCACGAACTCGTACGGCTCCTTGAACCGCGCCTCGTCGTAGTCGGCGGCGTACGCGTTCTGTTTTGACAAATTGTCGTCAGCAACAGGATAGCCACGGCCATCATCACACCCTTCTCGCCCGACACTGGGACCGGCACCAACAACGTGTGAACGTACCATGAAAAACGTGGTTCCCGCCGGAATCACCGTCCCCTCGTACGGAATGTCCTTGATGCTCGTCCTCGGCAGACACATGGGAATCACCGACCAGTACCGTAGCGTCTCTTTGACCAGCGCCGTCACGTACGGCACCTTCTCCTCCACCAGGCACTTTTCCCACGCGTCGCCGTCCGGGTACACCTCCTCAATCGCCCTCAGCGCCTTGGCCTGCACCGCCCGGCCCTTTTCCGTCGACAGGTAGGCGAGGCCCATGATGATGTTGCCGGGGACCGTGTCGAGGCCGGCCGAGACCATGGTCAGGCAGATGGACTTGAGCTCGGCTGCGTCCGCCCCGTCAGCGCCGTTCCAACCCGTGCGACGGGTACAAAGAAACACGAATAGACCCGTCGCTTCGGTCGCGTCAGTCACGGAGGGCACATACCGAAATTGAGCTTGGCCTCGGGGTCCTTGAGGATGTTTCCGGTGATGCACGGCTTGTCCGTGCCCTTGGCGATGCGGTCCTGGAGGGCGGTCAACATGTCCGTCAGGTACTTGTCCCGCCGGGCCCGGTACTCCTGGGCGGCCGAGTTCTGAGCCCCCCACAGCCGCAGCAGAGGGACATAGTCCTGCCAGTTGTTGCTCGTGGAGCGGAAGTTGGAAATCTCACGCTCGACGTGGGTAATCTCCTTGAGCAGGTCACTGTCGATGCTGCCGTCGATACGGAAGCCATAGTTGAGCGTGAGGGACGTGTTGAGCGCGAAACGCTGGACGTAGGCGTTGGGGTCGACGTCGACGGCGCCGCCTTTGGAGTCCTCGAGGAGCTCTTTGATGCTGGCGGTGGACTCCAGGTCCAGGATAGGCATGTACGACTGGGTCGCTGGCCGGTTCAGCGCCGTGGCGGCGGCCTTGCGACGACGCTTGCACGATTCATCCCACGGCGAGGTGCCAATTGTAAAGCCCTGCGACGTGGAGACGACCGAGTGGAACGTATGGAAAGTCGGTCGGGAGATGAGGGCCGACTGGTGTGTGATCCAAAAGTGCTTGACGCTGTCGTAGCTGTTGACGAAGATGATGCGCTACACGCGGGGTGGTGGTCAGCTTGCTGCCCTCTGCCCGGCGAACCGGGGACTGGTCTGCACTACCTTGGTGCCCAGGCGCGTCTGAAAGACGGGCCCGTACTTGCGAGCCCATTTCTGCGCGACGCGAGCGTGATCCACGCCGAGCTGCAGGAGGTTGCCAAAGACGGGGACGCCGGGAATCTCGGGCAGGCCCTTGATGCGGGGCACGTCGGTTGCGTTGAGGAACCTGATCAAGGCGTAGACGGCGGCCACGATGGCGATGCCCAGGATCTGGTACGACATGGCGGCGACGCTGCTGCGTTGTCCTGTGTCGTGTCGTCACTGGCGATGGAGGCTGCGATCCTGCAAGGCGCGACTCGAGAGCAACCTCTACCCTGCAGCAATTCCACGTGGTGGCTTGTGAAACATCGACAAGCTGAAGCGGCCCTTTGTCCTGCAGGACGACGAGACGCCTTATTTATGCTCGCATGTCGGCTCGAGATGTGCGGTACCGCGAAGCCGCAGAGCCGGCAGTGGGGACGCGGACGTGCGCGGGGAAGGTTGCAACGGCCTCGCAGGCTGACCACAGCTTGCCGCAATGGATGCTGCATAATTGGACGAGAAGAGGAGAGGTGGTCGCGATGAGGCTTGCCTCGACGTCGAGGAATCCGCTTCCGATTCCGACGATTCCGATTCCAATTCCAGCCCAGCCAGCGCCGCCGCACTCTCTCCCACTTTACCCCGGACTTTAGTGGGCGGCTCCACGTTTTCGTCGGCAGCGGGTAGGAGTGGGCACGGCGGGTGTCGAGATGGAGGTGGTGGCGGACTTGGAAACCTAGATGCGATGATGGCTCGGGGATGTTAGTGCGAGCACAGGAGAGTCCGCAGGGGGAGGACACAGGCGGCGCATCGGCCCGACATCGGATGCGCCGCGGCGGTGCCTGCGTCTGCATTGACTGACACCGCGTGGCGCCCGTTGCACCAACGAGGTCGCAGTCATGTCGAACACTTGCAGCAGTTGATGACGAAGGTGACAAGTCGGCAGCTGTCAGCCCCTAGCAAGACAGGGTGACGCTGTGAGAGAGACGCTGGACGGGAGGATGGACGGATCAGGTACGTACATATACGTGCGTGATAGCCTGGGCTGTGGTGATGCCCGAGGTGGCGAGGCCCAGCCGTGTTTTGCTTCGTGGCAGCGTCGCTGCGATGGCAACATTCGTTCGTGCCTTGTCGAGCCGCTTTGATGGAGATGGTGCGGCGGCGGCCCTCCAAGGGCGCGAATGCGCATCAGGTTGCGGACTGTGGACTGCGAAGGAGGGCCCACGCTCACCGGCCCAGTGGAGTGGCGGCGCCCCGGCCCAGCGACCAGGACCTGGAACCCACGCGTTACAGGCCACAGCAGTGAGATGGAAGGCAGCCCAATGGAATGGCTTGCCAACCACGAAACATCGATTTGCACGTCTGGAACCCCGAAGTCGTTCCCCCGCACTCCACCTCCGCTCCCCCCCGGTTCCCTGGTTCGAGCCGTCGAGGCCTTTCATGAGCGTGCCGCGCCAAACCCCGGATGCACCATCGGACACCATCGTCACGACTCACTGCCGCGCCCGTCGAGGTCTCATTGCGAAACACTATCCGCCCGCCCGCTACGACTCCTCTGCAATGTGCTGACCCAGGAGGCGGCAGCGGCATGTCCACCACGCAACCCTCTGCTTCCGCGTCGACTACGGCGGCGGCTCCGAATCTTCGCAAGCGCCGCTTTCCCTATACCCAGGTTGCATGGTACGCCTTGCGCGCCCTTCGCTGACGGGCTGCGCCGTCTTGTTTTGCTGTTCTGCTGACGTCGCGCAGCGACGAGTGCCAACGACGCAAGCGAAAATGCTCTGGCGAACGGCCCTGCAAGGGCTGCCGAGACAGCAACGCCACTTGTCTCTTTGAACGCAACACGCGATTCAGGTCGGGAAGCAGGCGACAGTACGTCTGATTCTGTCAATCTCATCCACGAGGCACTGCTGATCAGGCACTGCCGTCATCAGGAGCAATGAGGGCCACAAAGTTCCTCTGCCCAAAGGCCGGCTCGCGAGCCGCTCCAGCGATGCAGCCCGGACCACGCCCGCTGCCCCAGGCACCTCCGAGTACTACCTGAAGCTCGCTGGAAAGTTCCTGGCCTCGTCAAGACCCCAACTGGACCATCTGGCAGAACCCGCTGTCGAGACCACCGGCGTCGACGTCCGCTCTCTCCAGCGCCTCACCGATCACCGTCGCGCGGGCGACCCAGCCGACATTCTTGGCCTGCTCAGCGAGATGCAATGGGCCGGCATCTTGCAGAGCTACCAGGAAGAATGCGGTCTTCAGTACCCATGCCTGGACCTCGAGGAGCTGAACCACGAAATACGAGCGGCGAACCGCAGCATACCCGGGCCCAACCATCCGCTTGGTGGCCGCAGCAGGTCCGACGCTGCCATGCATAGGCAACAGCTTGGAGACATTGCCCTGTTGGTCTGCGCCATCGTTTCCATTCTTGCCGACCCCAAAGCCATTGACGTCGCCGACGCGACCGTCGATGAGATTCACGCCGCCGCCCTAGTCAAGACGCATCTGAGCAGCATTGACCTGGACGACCTAACTCTGTTGGTCTTGACTGTAAGCAATGTCATCCTGCCCTGGCCGCGTCGCGTCTGATCAACTGGCAGAGCATATACTTCTTCCTCAGCGACAGAGAGCAGCAAGCCTGGCGGGCGATTGGCATGGTCATGAGGTTGCTCCAGGAGTTGGGCTACCACACCTCCAGAAGCTCCGGTGCGGGGGGCGAGCAGCTCAAAGACCGAGGCGAGAGGCTCTTTTGGACCGTCTACACACTCGACCATCGGTGGAGTTTTGGCACGGGATTACCCTTTGGTATCCAAGATTCTGACATTGACCATAACCCGACGTTTGCCGTACGTCTTTTTGTCCCGATTTCTGCACTGGAGACGCGCGCTAACGGGTGCAAGGACAACTCCATATCGTCGGCGTACGTGAAGCACATGGTGGCGTATTGCCGCATCGCCTCGGACGTCCGCAAGTCGATCCAGGAGCAATCGGCGTCCACCCAGGGCATCCAAGATTCGACGCGAGACTTCCTCGACTTTCGCGTCATCGAGTGGCGCCGAAACCTCCCCGCACGACTTCAGTTCCAGGGTCCCGAGGACAAGTTCAGCCCCAGCGAGGAGAACCGCGGCCACTATCGCATACGGTTGACCCTGTATCTCCGAGGCAACCAGATGAGGACGATTATCCACAGGAAATCGTCGGTGCGCCCGGGTACAAGCAGCCTGGACCCGTCCAATGCAAACATCATGGCTCAGGTGGCCCAGGACACGATCCGCGTACTCGTCGGCCTGGCTCGCGACACGGACATTTACCGCGCTCAGCACAGAACCTTTAACCACTTTCTGCAGACGGCACTATCGTCGCTCCTGCTGGCCATGTGCTGCACCGGCGACGTCGACATGAACACCTGCCTGCGAGACGCGCACGATGCCATGGACCTGGTGAAGCGGCTGTCGACCGAATCCCCCATCACGAGGCGGCTGCTGGACAAATTGCAATACGTGCAGGATACGCTGAGCAATCTCAGGCCCCCCCCTTCCGAGGGCGTGCGGCGAAAGAGCCCAAAGCCGACGCGCCAGGCAAAATCGAGACGCGCGCGGCCATCGACGTATCCTGACGCTGCAGACGCCCTGGTGAACTTGCGCGACCAGCACGTTGCGGCGCCGCCGCCGCCCCAGGCTGCAGTGCCGATGGCAGATATTACGTCTCCGACCGACGTAATGCCGAGCCCGTCGATGCCGCGGGCATCGTTCGGGGGCGACTCCTTTGCGGGCGTCTCCCCGTATGCGCCGACGCCGTCGACATCGTCCGACTCCTTCCCTTCCGGCCAACCCAACTTTCCACTAGGCCTTCCCCAAGGCCTCGACTTTCCTGATGCAACGCAATATGCGTCCGGGTATCTGACGCTCATGCGGTTCCCGGAGCTGGGCGAAATTTTGAACGATTACGAGAACAACTTTACATTTTAGTGCGCGGAACATGGTAATGAATGGCATGGACACGTGTTACTTGGGCTGTATGAGTTGGACGCTTGGGGCCAATCGAGATCTGGCAACGGATCAGGACGATGACGAGTGCGATAGCACCTTGGGATTGTGGAATTGAATGTGGCGGTAGCTGGTGCATACTGCATACGCGCAAGTCACTGTCGATGTCTACCCGCTCGGTTCTACTGCGGCCGCTGTCACTCAGCGATACCGTGACTCAGTGAGACTGCCCGCCTGAATGTGGCTGCAATCGTGTCTGTTGCCTATTCAGCCCTGTCCTCCGGCGCGCCATCGCCGGCTGGTGCTCCTTGCGGCATGCACGAGCGGAATCGGTAATAAAGCAGCTCTTCCTGCCTCAATGCCATGATGGAGCTCACATCGTGCCTATAGCTCTTTGATCCTCGTGCCGTTGAATGGGCGAAGCTTAGCCCACGAACGCTTCATCTGCCGGCATCGCGCACAGCCCCCCGTGATGTCCGTGTGTTCCCAACAGCGTTGGCTGCTGTCGGCGTATACGGCTGGCACCACGCGAGACTTGATAACCTCGCTTCCTTGCTTTGTGACGGCCACCATGTCCCGAGCGCTGGTGGGGAGTGCCTGGGATGTCATGTCGGCCGTGTCAGACCCGTGGCCATGCGTAGAGCGGTAATGAAGGCGTATAGTAACGGAGGCTGCATACGTTAGGAGATGTGGCCAGCAAGGAACTTGAACGAAGGAAGCGAACGGCCAGGATGATGTTCCAGTAGTGCAACGCTTCTTGGCTTGCCTCTCGCCGGCTTCCTCGTTGGCCCGAGGAAACGCGCCTCGTCCATGCTTTCGTGCTGGTGGCAGAACAGGCCATGGGGCCATAGTACCGTCCTACGCCGATGAGCTGCGAAGTGCCAAAGAACCTCTTCTCCTGCCGCGCAGCCTTTGCACCGGCGAGAATCGTCATCTAGGCAGTAGATACTAGCATTTACTTCACTTGCGCCGACGTGCACGGAGAAAGTGGCTTCGGCCGGAAGACTGACTCCATATACATTGGCCCTAACGCAACTCGGTGGCGGCTTGGAAGCCTTGCCAGAGACAAGCCGATCGAGCAAGTATACAACAGGCCACATGCATGCCACAATGCCAAGGGCTGCATCCGACCGTCGGCATACACATTCGGCCAACACGGAGTTACCTCAGAAGTTCGTGGGCCATGCACTGGGCATCTCTGTGCTATGCTTGCCGCATACGATCGTTTCGCTTGTCCTTGGCGATGGGCTCCAGCTAGCTACTGTCGTGAGGCATTACATCCTCTACCTCCGACGTGAAGTGGCAGTGGTCAAGAGACGCCCCAGCAGAGCCGCAACCACACCACTATAACTAACTCTCTCTGAGCTATCGCTCTGGACGCCCCTACCAGAAGTCACACTAGCGACTGCACATGGCAAGCAGTGTGCGAAAACAAGAGGTCGTGCAGCTGCCATGCATACACATGTCTTGTCGGCGCACAGGGTTCGTAACGCCGCAAACCGCGCGCCTTGCTCGCTTGGCTGCATCCGCTTGCTCTCTGCCCTCGCAGTAGAGGTGACAAGGAGGAGGATACTAAAGTTCCACCTTGTAGCCATTGACACCGTGCCGAGCCTGAACTTTTTCCCACGGCGGTTGCATAAACTGGACCGCGCGTGACAGGTGGTAGGAAAGAACACCAGGGCCAAGGGGGAAAAAAAGGAGACACGGTGAGGGCAGCATTGGCGGGTCTGCAGTCGCTCGCATCCGAAATCTGGAACCATGGCGGATGGTCTTGATTGATGGTGGCCTCGGAGGAGTCGGACATGTCAAAGATCCGCTGCTTGTCTGAGCAGGCATCGAGATGCCCGATTTCATGACGATGGCGGATCCCGCGGCCACCGCGTCCTATACAATGAGCGGCCCATACTGCTCCATTCACTCACGCGCAGAAGTCTCATCGGTCAGATGTCAGCTTGCCTGTTTATCGGTACTATAGTCACTGTCACAGTCCACATCCTGGCAACTTGGCTCGGCCATGGTCCGGAGGAGCCTGTTTTGGTGGCAGGATCTTGGCAACTGGGTCCACGGCCGCAAGGTGAGAGTGTGTTACTGCTGCGCATTGGTCCCGAGGCCATCCCACTCTGCGATGAAGTGCCCCAATTCCCCAGTGGCTCTGGCTCGCTACCGCTTTCCAGGGTGGTTGGCCGACCGCCCAGCAAGAGTTGGCCGCAAATGCAAACAGGAACAATGGACTCACGCGACATTGCTTGGCGCCTTTGCATCTCCGACACTCTCCGGTCCAGGGTCTCTTGACCTTGACACCTGCGAGTCCGGACTCTCCCCGGCGAGCAGCATTTCATCGTCGCGGCCGCGCGGTCTATCAACGCGATTTACGGCCAAGTTGTCGACGTAAATGGCCGGTCGAGTGCCTGGACTATGCTGCTCCATGGCATCTAATATAGCCACCAACACAAGGCGCGCATCGCAGGACTTTCAATACGGAAGTGAATTGTATCGACGGAACAGCGGCCTTGCGGTCTCCAAGCCCCACACACAAGAGACTGGAGAGTAAGACCGCCCCGCCTTGCGAGACCCAGCAGGTACTTTGGCAGCAGTGCTTGTGTTAAATATTTGCCACATGGCCTCGTCTTTTAGATGTGGCCGTGAACGTATTTGCGGGTGGTTCGTCCCAACTCCCCAGTTCTCGACGTTGTCATGGATCAAACCACTAATCAGATCATCTGATAAGATAAGATTCGGGACAGTGGGGAGCCTAATGCAAGCCCCCGAGCTCCCCGACATCGCTTCGGGGCACCATTTCCTGGTTCATTACGTAACTTGACGTCCATTGCCTTTGCCAAGAGTAGCCGGTAACTGCACGCACGCATGTGAAGATTGAAGAAGTTCCCGTTTGTATTGCTGGGTTGGCGAACAGACGGTAAGAGAGGCGTGTTGGTGTTCGCCCCTTTGACACGGGTGAGACGGACGACATTGCCGACAAGTGACTCGCGGCTACTCGACTCTGCAACAGCTTCGACTATGGTAGTTCCCTGGTTTTCCAGTGACAAAACTGCATATGGGTGGCGTGTCGCTGGTGGACCATTACTAGGTAGCTAGCTCAGCGGCAAGCCCAAATTCTCTTGGCGGCAAGCCGAACCGACCGACGCAAGGTGAATACGCCCGGCTCTGTCAAACGTTGTGGAGACGACCCCTGCCACCAACGGCAGTGCTCACGGCGTGCAGGCGTGCAGGCGATGGCCGAGAGAGGAGTCATTCATGGCCGCCATGGAGTTCTTCGCCCAAGAGAGCGGGGAACTTTCGGGTTTCGTGGGCACCGGAATCAGGCTAGCGGTATTCCCTTGATGTGTCTGTCTTGGCATCGTTGCTGCGTCTGCCCTCGTGTCAGATGGCTTTGGAGCTTTCCAGGGTTGACTTGGCCACAAGATATCCCGCATCATCAGGTCGGTTACCGCCGAGCACCGAGTGGCCGATATGTCGACGTCTATAAAGATGAGGCCGCCGTCGTGTTTGCATTTATATCTCGCTCCTATGACGACCAGGAACCCGGGGGAATCCACTGTCCTACCACGTATCACCGAGTGCAAGTCCTTTAGATGCATTTCTCAAGCACCCTTTCGGTCCTGCTGGCCTCGGCCACTGCCTGCCATGCCGCCTTCCGGCCGGGATGTGAAGACGCCTCCTGGGACTCGGACACGGACTACTTCCTGGACAAGTTCGATCCCAAGGACGAGAATCTTCCCATCGCCCCAACGTACAACAAGACGTACGTGGCCATCAGGAACCGGCAGCGACGGCATGTTGTGTTGCACTGCACCAATACACCACCGCCGAGATCCATTGTCGGTGAGGAGGCGTTGATGGTCAAGGTGCCTGTCACGAGCGTGGCGGCACTTGATGGCTTCAGCCAGACAGTCATAGAGGTACGACACGTGTACACGCCAGAAATGCAAGGATGGCATGCTAATTCCTCCTATCTAGATGCTCGGCATGTCCTCGACTATCAAGCGCACCGGAGCGTACTCCGATGTCACAAGCTCTTGCATCCGCGGCAACATGATGAATAATGTTACATACGACGATGATCACTGGGACAAGGCTGACCCGGTAAACGTGACGTTTTACGGTGACTGGACTCGGGAAGACAAGAAGAGCGTGCTCATTTACAACAACGGCATGTACTCGCCCCTCTCACAGCTTGCGTACATCAAGTTCATCGCCATGTTTTACGGCGCAGAAGAGCTGGCCAACCGGGTATACGACGAGATTGCCAACAACTACCGTTGCGCGGCCGCTCAAGTGCAGCAGGCCTTCATGTCGGGAGACCTGCGCTCTGGGGCCTTCATCTCCCCCGTGCAAAAGGATGGCGATGCCTTTACCGTGTTCCAGAGCGAATGGTGGTCCGCGCTGCTGTCTGACGCCGGCTCCAAGCTTGTCAACGTCTCCGCGGACGGGGAGACTGCAAACAAGCGCTTTGGACCAAAGCAGGTCAACCTTCAGGCCAACAGCGACGCGAGCGAGTTTGCAAAGCAGACGTGGGCTATTATTGACACCACTCAATATAGCCAGCTGCCAGGCAAGCAGGCGCCCAAGCAGTCGCCGTCCAGCGAAAGAGTGGACGAGAACAGCTATGCGCAACGCTCCGGAGCTTCTTCCAACTCCTTTGCGGTTAAGAAGAATAACGTTTACCTCACGGACAAGGCGACGAATCGGAATCTGCGTCATAGTGAGTTCTCACCCGGTCCCTTGGTTCTCGAACATGCCTTGCTGATGCCGCGTAGACTTTTTCGATCGGAGCTCGGCGCGGCCGGACTTGGCGCTGCGCGATGTCATTTCCATCGTTGCGCCTTCACTCGTCCCCGGTTACGAGACTTCATTCATTCGCAGCGTTAAGAACCCCAAGGAAAAAACGGCGCTGATCCGGAAGCCCGATGCCTGCCCGTCTACGGGTAAAGAGGTGGAGGCCTTGCAGTTGACACAGTGTGACGCACCTTCGTGGGTCAAGGGATATAAGACGTCGGGCCTTACAGCCAATGCCTACGCACGGTCCGACTCTGTCACGTCTTTGGCGGCGGGAGGTGATGGCGACAGCGGGGGCTTGACCGGTGGTCAGAAGGCCGGTATCGCGGTCGGCACCGTCTGTGGAGTCGTCTTGATTGCAGGGGCTGTGGTGGCCGCGGTGCTTATGAAGCGTCGCAACACCAAGAAGAAGCAGCTGAAGCGTGAGATGGACCAGGTCGAGAAGGGGTCCACTGGCAGCAGATCCACGAGATGAAGATGGGCCATCGTCTGGCATCTGCAGTGGCTGTGAGATCGTCGGTGTACCTCCCCTGATTGCCCACTGCCACACACTCCCCTGGCGCTGATCAGTCGAGTGGTTAAGTCCTGCCGGTCGTGTGTAGGCCACTACGAAATACAAACTTTCCTGAGCAGTGGAACATGCCCGGTTCGTTAGCCAACGGCGCGGAGTTCCAACATGTCGCACACAGTGCCCTCTGTCTCGAAATCGCCGGTCTCTGTCTTGTTTTGGCCTACATCACCAATCAACCAAAGGATGCCCAGTTCCTCGGTCAGAGAGAAGCCACCTGGACACCCCGTCCCTCTGTATTTGGCCACTACCGCAACTATCGCTGCTATCGCTACTATCGCTGTTACCGTTGCCACCACTGCTCCTTGTTGCTGGCGTTCCTCTCGTTGCTGGTGACGCTAACCAGCGACGATAGTTCGCAGGGAACCATCGTCGACGGGAGGAGGGGGTTCTGCGTCACTGCCTAGCCTGCACGAGAGCGGGCTGAACGATGAGGGGAGAAATGTGCCATGTGACCCATAGGGAGGGACAGGTTGAGCTATGGTTGGGGTGAAGAAGAGGCACGGCAGTGACCGCACCTCGTCCCCTCCGCGGATACGTGCTCGAGTCTCATACATCAATCTCCGCCTCTCGTCGCCGGATACGCACGTTCAAAAAGGGGTCGTGCGACAGGGCAATGCCATACGCCCGCGACGTGGGCACCACGCCCTCCGGCAGTTCCACGTCATACTTGAGCAGGATATTGAGCAGCGCAATCTTGGCCTCCTCGGCGGCGAAGAAGCGGCCCGGACAGGCATGCGCGCCGTGGCCCCAGGCGAGATGCTCGGGGCTCGTGGCGACGAGATGCGAGAGGTGTCGCTTCTTTGGGTCGTTGCGCATGGCGACGAAGCGGTACGGGTTCCAGGTCTGGGGGTCGGTGTGCACCGATGCGTCTGTCCACATGTTGTGCGAGGAGACGCCGATGCTGTGGCCTTGCGGGATGAAGGTGCCGTCGGAGAGCGTCATGTCTTGGAGAGCCATGCGGCGCATGGAGACTGGAGGAGGGGGCATGTCAGTTAAGAAGAGAGTCCCATCAAGAGATGAAGGAGACCGTACTCAGGCCGATGGGTTTCAGGCGCTGCGACTCTTTGAGCACGCTGTCGAGCAGCGTCATCTTGAACAGTGCAGACTTGTGCCAACCCTCTTTAGAGAGTGCCGCGACCGCCTCATCGCGGAGGGGCTGGATGATCTCTGGGTGTTGCACAATGTCACCGAGCGTCTGGCACAAAAGGTCCGTCGTCGTGTGAATGGCCGCAAGCGAAAGCACGAGCTGCACAATGGCCGCATCGTAGTGACCGCCCGTCGTCTCCCTCTCAAACCAGTCGATGGCGTCGTCGTACCTTTCGGGCTCCTCGCCGCGCGCCCTCGCTTTCTTGGCCTCGCATCGCCGCTCATCGATGACGGGCTGGATGACGCTGCGGGTCTTCTTGACGAGCGCGCGGGCGTCGCGACAGCTCTTGAGGAACCAGTGGACCACATAACGCGCGGCATAGGGGTATTTGCGCAGCTCCGTGGCGGCCCGGAAGACGGTGACAGTGTATTCGCGTGTTACGTGGAGCCAGTCCTCGTTGCGGCAGAGTGTCTCGCCGAGAAAGACGCGTGATGACATGCGCGCGACGAGGCGCAGGATGTGGTGCCGGAGGTTGACTGTGTGCCATTCTGTCGTACATACCACAGTCAAACGGTTCGTCACTACAATACGTCGATGATGCACGGGTCGCAACTCACCAGCGTTGTCCGTCAAGAGATCTCGCAGCGCCAAAGACGCCTCTTCGGTCAGCGGCTGGGAGATTTTGCCTATGTTGCAGTGTCAGAACGTCGACGTGATGCTGACGCAACGGAGAAGGCAAATATTGACACACTCAAATTCTGCGTGAGCTCCCTGAGGACGGTGCGTCGGACAATCTCGCCGTCTTCTGTGCCTTCCCGGAAGCCCTCGAAGCCAGGGAGATGCGAGTGAAACGTCTGCGCCCGCCAGCGTCAGTACAACAAGCCAACACCCGCCAATGCACACAGAGCGAACGTGCAAAGACGCACCTGTTGCGTGAGCTCCACAAAGCCCAGCCTCTTGTCGTTGCGAATCTCGTCGGCCATCCGCGGCGGCAGGACCGTCATGCAGCCCATGTCGGTGTTGATGGTGACGGGCCTGTCGGGGTTTTCGCCGAACCATTGCTCCAGCACCCGCCGCGAGTTGCGCGCAAACTCCTCTTTGGCACGCGTCGTCGTGAATTCGTATCGCTTCTTGGGGTTGAGGAGCGGCGGGTGCGCGACGGCCCGCTGCGCGCGCAGGTACAGGACGAGGAGGACGCCGACAACGGATGCGGCCACCAGCGGCAAGGGCTTGGCGGAGAGGTCGAGCGGCACGTCGGCGCCGCCGAGCAGGCTCGCAACGAGGCCGGAAGGCATGCTGGGTTGTCCTTTGCTTGCGCTCGCCGCTGAGGCCGGACTCCTTGTTGGACCAAGTTATCGCTATTCCACCCAGCCGGGCAGGCAAAGACTTTATAGTACGAGCTCGGACTGTGCTGTACCCCAAGCCACCGCCAACACTTGCTCACCCACGCGGCCACGTAGTGTACTTGCTGTGCGTCGGTGGACAAACTCGCGGCTCGAGCAGTGGAGTCGCATCGCATCGCACGCGCGCATGCACGCCATCGTCGGACTGGTCCCAGCAGCTCGGATGGGCGCCTCCGAAACCCCAACACATCTCGTGGCGTCGCGGTTACACGGCTTGCGAGCAGCGTCAACGGGCGATCTGCCAGGGTGCACGGCATGTATCATTGGTGCCTCTTTCGGTGGTGGTGGTGGTGAAGGCGGCGGCGGCGTCCAGGGTCAGTCACGGAGTCGCAGGCAGGCCCGCCGGTCGAGACATGTGCCGGCTTTGGCTGCCCTGCCTGCCTTGTTGGTGCTACGTACGCACGATGCCGTTGCGCAACAACCTGGAATCGGGGGGCCTGCCGTCTGCAAGTGCCGGCGGTCGTTTGCGGGGGGTTCGGGGAAGGGGTTCGATTGGCAGGGTTTCTGTGGTCGTCGGACCTCCGTCGAGGACTTTGTCCGACGCTTGCCCCTTTGCAACGTGAAGCGAAGAAGCGAGTGCTACGGTAGTTGCTTGTCCATGATCAAGTGATGGTTGCCTGCGCAGCTTGCCGTTGGGTCCGCACACCCCCCGACACCCCGGACCGGTGGCAGTTCACGCACGGGGCTCACACACAAAGTCGGGAGGCGATGAGGGCCAACAGGCCGACGGCAGCCTGCACTGTCGCGGCAGACGGCTCACAGGATGGCCCTGGCGACGTGGCAATAGCGCCCAGCCCCGATGGCCCGCCACGCCGAACCCATGCATAAGGGTCGGGAATGTTACGTACGTATCTCACAGGATGAGAGCGTTCGAGAAGAGTACCAGACAGCGTGACTCTTGCAACGAAACGCATGAGGCAAACAACAGCCCTACGAATTGGCAAAGGCAGAAGAGCGGCCTCGCGCGATAGCGTGCGACCCCCTTGAAGTGCACCTCGTCACCCAGCGACTTCTCATCGCTCTCTTCGATGCGGTGCATTTGCCCGTCGCACACTTGGCGTGTCTGGTAAGCTTTCTGCATTCTCGACGAGAGACAGTTGACAATCATGGACATACTGTTTTCGGCCTACGCGGCGCAGTCGCCTCACCCCACCACAGGCTGTATTCGCCAGATTGAGGGGGACCATCCCGCGTCTCAGCGCAAATGCGGGCCGTCTTGACGATGCACTGTTGCGTCTTGACGTGGCATACCTATATGAGAGCCCCCCGCCCCATCAGCTTCGTGACATTGATCCGTGATTTTTGGGCGGGCGTGAAGAAGAGTACATACGCCTTCCGCTCTGCTGTGATACAGGCTTTGTATGAGTCAGGCCTGCTCGTGAGAGCTGGCCGTCATCCAGTACGATGCCAGGTCGCCATGCACGGTCGATGCCAGCGTCAAGAGCAGCAAAATGAGTTGCGAGTGCATCGTGCTGGGGGGCAAGGCGAGAAGTCGAATCCTAGCGAAGCCGGGACGAGGGGCCTCCTCGCTGATATAGTAGGTGCGCGCGGTCGGTGTTGAAGAATGGTCACAAGGATCGGACGGGCCACTATCTCGTGGCTCGACACTGGATCCTATGTACTCCGGGAAAATCGAGGTGATAACGATCAAGAACGACCTAGTGATATTATCGGGTGCGCGAGCAGCTGCGACGTTGACGAAGCTTCATGCGACCCACGGACACTGCATTGGTACATTGGCATCCAGGAACATGCAGCCTTACGAGCAGCATGGATGTCAGTGCAAAATGTCGGGCGTAACGGTTACGTGAAGCCCAGCATGCAAAAGGTTGACCTCGTTTCAAAGAGACCTTGCACATGACTGTGACCAAGTCCACGTTCAGCATGCAGTGCACAGTGATGTGAGCTTCATGGTTGTCATCCCGACTGTTGCGCCTCACGGATATCATGATGCAACTGCGCTTGCGGACGGGTTGCGTCAAAGTCGGCCCCAGATATCCGTTGGTTATCGTCGAATAGACACGTGCAGGTGACCATGTGAGCATGAGAAAAGGACTCTCGAGGAATGCGCAACACCAGCCAAGTAGCGAAGCAGCCTTGGTCGGTCATCCAATGTAGGTTCATGTTCGTATATCTAGGCACACACGCGCGTCATTACTTTCCGATACGATTTATAACGGTCCATTGCCAAAGGTGACCCTCTGGTTGCCCTCCCTGCTGACGACGATCATTCTAGATCCGCCGTCCCCCTTAACCCCCTTCATCCTCTTGTTGATGGCGTCCCAGGGTTTCATTACGAGGCCCTTGCCGGTGTAGTTCATGTGCCCGGTGAATGTCGACGCCATGATGGTCCCTTCCCATTCACTCGGGTAGATGGCGAATAAATCTCCGCTCGAAGACGCGTGCCAGGAGTGAAGCGCGGAGGCGTTGGAGCGTGTCTCGTATGCCGAGGCATCGTCGAGGGTCTCGCTCTCTTGCTTGGGTGTCGGTGCTTCGAGGCCAGACACGTCGGCGCGGGAGGGTGCGTTGATCAGGACGTGTGACGTGCCAGACTTGGTTTCCGTCAGGACTGTGCAGAAGTCGTATCCCCATTTGATACAATCCGCGTCGAACGCCGGCGTGAGAGATACGTTGAGACTCCCGTCGATCGACTTGATATGAGCAGAAGAGCTGTAGAGCGTCTCGGCCCAGATGTGGCCCGTCTCTGTTTCAATGGCCACTTTGTGATCGCGTGGCCGCACATCCACAGCGGGCGACTGGCTCAGCTCTTGGGCGGAAATGTTGCCGTGCAAGGACGTCAAGGCCAATGTGGAAGGAGTCGATTGCCGAGACCTTGGCAGCTTTTGGCCGATGGTCGCCGCAATGTTGCCAAACCTCGTGATGAGTGCGAGGTCCTCATACAGAGGAAACCACCCACGAATTTGGCCGGTCAGGCTCTGCACGACAATGGAGGGAGCTTCCAGCCTGTACGGCGCAAAGCTCTCGTTCCGAGAGCTCGCCGGGGCTGTAACATCACCCGAAAATGTCAAGATCTGGACGTCTTCCGCGACGGACATAATCGTACCCGCTTCAATACCTACGTCGAGATGTTGCGTCTGGATGTCGAGAGCTTGCAGCACCGTCTCGCGAGGTACATAGAGGATGATGCGCAGCTGGATGCAAGGCTCCGCATCGCGGTCCTGCCAGTTGCGGATCGTTCCAGGTGTCGCCACCTTGAGCGCGCCGTCGTCCGGGTCGAGACTAAAGGTGAAACCCAAGGAGTCGTGATTGGCCATGGACTCGACGGCAAAGTAGCCTGCAGGAAAGAATGATCCCGTGGCGGGACGGATGATGAGTTCGCCAAACGTCTGGATGGCTCGTCCGGAGGACGTTGTCCCGTCCTTGGTGAGCTGGAGTATGGTGAGGTTCCGATGGGCATCGAAGTGATAGCTTTGCCCTACCGCGAGACGGCTATTGCTTTTTTGTCGGCAGCTGGGAAGCGGCCTCCAGAGCATGTCGCCGTCGGGAGCGCCCGGGGGCTTCACAGGTTCCTCGATGTATTCATGGTTCTGTTGTCTGTCAGTGATGCTCGCGTGAAGACGAGTCGACATGAGTGCCAGCGTCTGGCTGCGCTGGCGAAAACGCGGAGACTCGCTCACCTGAGGCAAGGAGCCTAACAACAGGCCGATCAAGATGGTCACGGCGATGACGAGTAGTACTAGTGTGACGAGTAGGAGGACAGCTCGCTTTTTGAACGCCTTGCCCCCGGCGGTCCAGTCAAAGTGCATTCGAAAAAGGCTAGGCGAGGCAACCTCGGGGAACTGCGAGGTCAGTGAGTGAGGTGTGGTCGACAGCAGCGGCTGCTGCTCGCTCGGGGTGAAGACGTCGTGAGCCGGCGACGAGACGGCTGTCGAGCTGTGCGCGATGGCCCCATAGGACGGCCCAGGACGTGGCGAGTAGGCCGGCGGCGCATCGAGGTACTGCATGGGGCCGTGGCCACGACTGTGATGGGTAGGCTGCGTCGCCGGTGCCGGCCGTTGCCATGATGGCGACGCGTCGCTGGGAGGAGGGTGATGGCGAGCGGCGTTCTGCAGATTTGTTGCGCCCTCCTCGCTTCCTCTGTCGAACGCTGGTGAGCCGGACTCAACCTGTGCATGTGATTGCGACGAGTCAGAGCCACGCCGTCCCGGAGACGGGTCCGAGACGGACTGCGATGGAGGCTCAGAGCCAGGAGTGCCTGACGCCGACTCGGCCGCCTCGCGAGCCTTGGCCTCGGCGGTCGCGCTCGGGCGCAGCGTCGGGTCGACCACCATGATGTTGGGGACGATGGGCACGTTTGCCGACGTGCGGCTCTGCCCGGCAGGCTGGGGACCACTCCGTGGCTCGTCGTCGTCGCGCGACGAGCCGCCAAAATAACCGTCCGCCGGCGAGAGGGCAAAGTCCTCGTCGCCTTCGGAGGCGGCGCCATCTTCGGTGTGCGCGTACAGGTCGTCGTCGTCGTCGGGCATGTTGATGATTCGACGACGCGTAGGGCGCTTGAGATCGGGTGAATGAGGACTGCTTATTACCTGAAAGTTGCCCGTGCACAGTTGAGTCCGGCGCTAGTGATCCTTGCTCGCTGCGCAACGCGTGAGACCTCGTGCCGTACAATTAGTACGCCGTCTCCAACAGCTCACCCAGCTCTTGCTACGGCCGCGGTTTGCGCCATGCTCCCTATAGGTGCTATGGTATCCGGACTTGTATCGGGTCACGTTTGTCAGAGCCCCGAAAAGCCGTGCGGACGGTCTCGGTGCTGCGATCCCGACTGAAGGGGAAGGTTCAGCGTTCTGCTGTAAATACTGCTGTGCTGGGGGCGGCGCCGGAAGAAAGGGGGGGTTGTTTTATATGGCCGGCGCGATGAGGCATTGTCCCTTCCAAAAGATGGATGAGGAAATGTAGTTTTGCCTAGCGGGCGCGTTGTTTGCGAGGTCGGGCAGGAATCATCGGCCTGCAGCTGGGAGCACGACCCTCGACGTGACAGGCCGATGGAGAAGCGCCCTTCATAATTCACTCACATAGAGAAGGTGCAAAGCCCGGCTATACCAGAAATTGGGTATTTTCCTGCCTTGAAACCGCTTAAGGAGGAACCTCCTGGTTGCCTTGGGTCAGGTTAAGGCGCAACACTTGCTCGAGTTAGTGAAGCTCTGCCAATCGCCAGCCTGAGAGCCAATGAATGGCCTGGCTTGGTCGCACCACGGCGCGCAAGAAATCTACTGTGTTGCCGACTCAACGATGGTACCACGACTCCACGAGCATACGGGCCTGCGAACCTGCTGGCCACGTCCTCCCAGCCAAAGGGCTAAGGCGGACTGGAGCTCTTTTCCCCCGAGGCTGGGATCGGCCCTTCCCCCCCCCCCCCCCTTTTTTCAGTTCCAAAAGACCCTACCCCGAGAGTGTGTGTCCAGTGCCGTCTTTTGTTGACCGGCAGATTTCCGGGGAGCCTCTGTTCCAGGCATCCAGCACGTTGATACCCACCCCTCGCCTCCGCCCCTCTGCCCGCCCCGTCCCCCCAAGACCGCCGGGGCGCCCCAGCCAGGTCGTTGCGGGGTATGACCAATTATTGCTCGCAAAGATCAGGGGCAGATTCAGGCGCAACACAAACGGTAATTCGTTCTCTCCTTCAAAACAACACCACCATCTTGCACAATGTTTTCCGTCGCTAAGCACTTCCCTGCGCCAGTGTGGACTACCCTTTAGTGTGTATACATTTAGCTAGTGGTCCTTTTATGTGAACTTTCATACTATGCATATTAGTTGGAAAGCCTGAAGTGCTATCGTTCATTATGGGATCCCTTCAGCGGCGGCATCAGCAGCAACACTCCAATGTCAGAGTCACTTTCATTCCCACATCTGGAGATCAGTATCCTAACACACGTCTTTAGACAGTACGCATAGACGCCCCGCACCAGCTTACTTATGTGCCTATCCTAGGGCCGTGGCGACGGAAAGAGAAACCAAACTGGCCTGACATAGCCTTCCAAATACCTGCCGAGGTGCCTGATGGCACAATATACTATGTGACGAAAGGGAGATGGATCGGTTAGGGGAGCATAGCGTATATTGAACTGCTTGCGTTAGGCCATATCGTCAAATACACCAAGTCGAGTCCGTATTGCCGAAAGAATGAGGAGGAAAATCGCGATCGTGTGCGAGCGGAGGCTGAAGTCTATAAGTGACTCAATAACAGCCCCTACGTCCCTAAACTCGTTTACTGGGATCCGGATTTGTGCTGCTTGATATTAGAATATATGGAGAACGGAAGCCTCGAGGCTTATGTTAGAAAAATCGCTGAAGCGACGACTGGCGGCCGGGGCGTTACGTACGTTCCTGCCTAAGTTCGACGACGGTGGGTAGTCCAAGCAGCAAGGGCATTAACCGTCATTCATGCAGCCGAGGTCATTTACTGCGACATCACGCTACGCAACTTTTTATTGAATGCATAACTAGATCTCTATATTGCCGACTTCGCTGGCTGTTTAATTTCTGGCTCGGCTCCTCTTATTGCACCTAGATCAACATATCAACTACTAGATTGGAATTGGAGCCGTATGGCGATTGAATCGGATGATGTGTTCGCTCTAGGCTCGGTTTTATACTTCATTATGGTCCGAACCGAGCCCTATGTAGATTTAGAAGAGGAAGAAGTGCACGTTGTTTCAGAGAGCAAAGTTCCGGAATGTAGACCAACTCGCATGTGGAAGGATTATTTAGGGCTGCTGGGACGGAAACGTATCTACTGCAGAGGAAGTAGTGGCTGCCTTGAATGGCCTAGAGTGGGAGGCAGACATTGAACAAGTGTGCTGAGGCTTATGTATCAATTTTCGTACAGTACGTGCAAGCCACTATGCGTACGTATACCGTCACCGAACCTGGCTGAGGCCCTCGAAAAGTGTCGCTCCCCCCCCCCACATAGCAAATACATGCCTTTCCTCCGCCCTTACAAACCCTCACGGCTGTGTGCCAGTGTTCCTTCGCCCCGTGACGCAGTGCGGGGGGTGCCGCGTTTGGAGCCAGGAACGGCTTTCAGCGAGTAGTAGGATCGCTGTAGCCTTCGTCCCTGTGATTTGGACACATGGTCCTGCTCCTCGTTTGACCGAGTTGTTCTTCCGTTGGAATGGGACAAGGGGTGGAGCTTTCTTCGAACTCTGGACAGCCGTCGGTGACGAGAGCTCTTGATGTGCTGTTGCATGTTGCGGGGCAGCCCGAGTAGCGCGTAATGGATATGAGTAGCCGGTACATGACTGGGAACGGTAAAGCACAAATAAAACTGCCGTGGTAGTTGAGGCCTGCGAATTGCAGGAGGAATATCACAGCTCCCGGGCCACGTCTTATATCACTCTTCCACCCGTCAGAGCAAGTTACTTGCCCCGCACTGCTGCCTAGGATATGCAAGACTGTCTTGCACCAACGGATACGACCAAGGTGCGGAAGCTAACGAGCCCATGTCCGGTGTGCGGTGGTCGTCAATCCGCTTGGACGCCTATGCGCTTGGTGCGCCAGAACTCTCAGCCTGCACGCTTCCCAACCGCAGTCGGTGCCTACGGGAGTAACCCCGCGGCAGTTCTGCGCTCTCCGCCGTTGCGGCCGTTCCCTCCAGCACCACTCCCAGTCGACTGGCCTGCTTACAGGCCAATGTCTCCTTCGCTTTTGGATTTGGACTTGTCGAATCGCGTCTTCCGCTCCCTGACGCTGCTCTGCTGGGAGATTACTAATTTTCGATATGCAGCCGTACGCCGGTGTCGACGTGCAGTCACGTCAGACGATACAAGTCCAGGCTTTGAAGAGAGACGCCATCGGTTCGCCCAAACAGGAATCTCTACAAGGATTTCAAGGGCAGGGCTAGGGGAAACGGATAGGAATGAGTAGACACATGTCAGGCATGGCGGAAAGAGAGCATAGGCATACTACCGGAGGGAGAAACAATCCATCTACACGAAATCACTCAGTGATCATGGCATACCTATAACGAGAGTATCGGTAGAGTATTTGGTATGAAGTTTAGTCGTAATGGAATAGTCGGCACTGGCGTTGTGAAAACCACCACTCAAGCTTGCCCTGCCAGGGAACGTCCATCCAGGAGAGCGACTCATGTGCCCCGGCGGTAGCGTTATGTGCGTCAATTCTCGCGACGTATGGCCAATTCTTCCGGGTCCTCGCGAGGCCAATGTGAAGCACTGTCGAGGAATCAACGGTCATCGTGTCAAAGACCCAGTCGGGGCGATATTGCCCTATGCAGGCACGATGGCCGTTGTCATAGTACACCAGCATGCCAATGATGGGTCTATATGGGGCAGCCTCCTTGATGCAGCATGCGATTTTCGCAACGTTCTCCAACCTGCAGTTCGTATAGTACCACAGCTCGTTGGACTGCGTATAAGGCGGCGTTGATGTGGCTGTCAGCGAAGGGGGGCAAGTTGACGTGTTCTCCTTGGCCGCGTCCGTTTTGGCGGTGTCACTGTTGTCGAACCCCATATACATAATGCGTTTTTTGTCTTCGAGTGGGTCCCATTCGCTGAAATATACTCGTGACGGAGAGGTTGTTGTCGAGTACAGGAGATGGAACTCGGTCCGGATCTTGGGGTGTACAAAGTACTGCCCGAACAGACACTCTCTTTCCTGGCTCGTGCGAAACTGGAGGGCATCGTGATCAGTCTGTATGCATGTGCTTGTGCTCTGCCTTTTTTTCTGTTTCGTGCCTTACCACTAGCCCTATGAGCCCAGAGCCGGGTTCCCTGAAGGCCCAAATTTGCGACAAGTGTTCGTTCTCGTCGACAGGCATATACATCCACAGCATGGAATCCGAAACGCTATCCATATCCATGTCACTGTAGAAGTTCGTACTGTCATCCGAGCGATGCGCGTATATCTTTGCTATATGAAAGCCAAAGATAGCGGCCGAGTACCCATCGATTCGTGGTGTGTTGCAGTCGAGAGAGCTCATGCGAAGGTGGGTGGGTGAGGAGCCTTGGACGGCCGAGTACCCATCGATTCGTGGTGTGTTGCAGTCGAGAGAGCTCATGCGAAGGTGGGTGGGTGAGGAGCCTTGGACGGCCTCGCACGTGTCCATGTTGATGAGTCGGTACGTTCGTCGGGGCGCAGGCGCGGGCGCAGGCCAACCATGACTTGGTACTGGGGCGGACGACGTAGAGGCCGAGTCTGTCGCGTCCACGAGCTGTCGGAGTTTGACGCCCTTGAGGCAAAAAGAAGACGTTAGAACAGGGGCGAGGAAGAATGTGGCGAGTCGGAGGGACCTCACGTCGGACTTGATCGTGACTCGTGAGAGACCGCTCGTTCGAGCTACCTCGGTCCACCACACACCACAGGCACCACGGGACGATGAGTGCTCCTCGTTGGGCGCCTCAAAGTGGATGGCTCTGATGCCCACATGGTCATACCTGATCCAAATGGTCGGGAGAGAACGTGCTTGGCGGGTATCATACATGCACGACCAGCTCCTGTCGTCTTGTGGACATGCATTGCTAAGCGACTGGAGATAGGTGATACCCTCGATCTCGATGCGTTTGACATAGACATCCCGTGCAAGGTCAATTGTGAAAGTCGCCGGCTGCGTGTCTCTAGAGCGTTCCTGGAGAGTGACGGCGGTCATTTCGCAGAGGATATAGCTTGCAACCATGTGGCAGATCTCCTGCGGCATTTGGCGCAAGAACGTGCGCTTCAGTCGCCTGGCCACCGCCCATTCGATGCGATTTCGTCGTCGAAGCTCGACTCGAACCGGCGGGTTGAAGTCATAATTTGCGGCGCCGAGATATTCCGATGATATGGGGACCAGTTGCAACGAGCGACATCCGCTATGAACGCAAGGTACGCGGCGTTTACTCCTTCCGCAGCTCTTTCCGCAACACATGTGCCACGCAATCCTGCTCGACTCGTCCACGTACGTACGGCCATGTTCGAAGCGGAATGGGACGGACGCACAATCATTGTCGAGGACTGGCAGGGACAAGACAGGGTTAATCGATGCGATACGTCCATCCGATGTATGGGGGGTGAGAAACTTGCCAGCGACTACCGAGTCGTCATTCTCGAATGGGAACTGGCAAAGCGCGCATCGAGGTTTGTCGACGCAGATAATCTGTATGACATCTTCATCGGTCATCCTTACCGGTCGCAGGATGTGCGTTTGCTCATAGCGTCACAAAAATTGCGATGACAACGGCGATACACATATACCATGAGTGCCAGAAAAGGAGGGGCAATGGGATCACCCAAGGGGCCTTGTGGATATAACTGTACATGCTGGAAAGTTGACATGACAATATTTGGTTATGCATATGAAACACATTGGGCATGAGCCGCGTTGTCCGGATATAACGTTTACCTATACCAGCCTTCTACAGGGCGATTGAGGCGGAAACGTGGCAGGCCAACAGCAAGCCGGCCTATGCATCAAAGCAGTACTTTGCACACAACGACATTCAGTCTCTCGTGTCCATGGTAGCTTGAACCAACATTGAGCCCTACGATACTTCATGATGATCATGCATGAAAACCCTATGGAAATTCACAATCCTTTGTCGTAAGTTCGTAACGCCCTAGGTAGCCTTGCTTTCTAGCCATATTTCCCGCTGCAAGAGTATGTATAGCACCAGGTCTGGCTAACCGTCTCGTGTTAGAGACCCGAGAATGACGTCTATGCCGTCGTATGTGCCGCTGTGAAAGCGTCTGGTGCTGGGTGTCCTTGATCGGCATTCGCCTCGCTACGCAGCCTGCACTCGGATTCGTGCGGACCATCTTCAGTGCCAACCGGATGCGGAGCAGATGATGGTAGAGGATTTAGTGCCGATATCGCTCGTGCTTGCCGTGCAAGCCGAGTGAATGGACAATGCGCGCTGCTCTCCTGTCAGCACCGAGGATCCAAGGCTGCTTACTGCAAGCCAGGGAACGTGTCTGATTGATGCCACTGAACAGACGATAGCGGCTCTTTGCTCCACTTAAAACCGGGTTGCTTGGCAAAGAACGCCTGGTGTCGGGGTAGTGGCAGTTGACGGCGGGGCAGAGCGCGCCGAGTTCGAAGAACATTCGGTGGGGTCCTCCTTTCCGGAGGCAAGCCGATATGCGGAGGCGGCGCAGAGTGCGAGGTAGGAGGGCACATTCGGGCTTGGTTAAAAGCATCGGCAAATGCCCAAGTCACGACCCGCGGGTAACATCAAAAGAGTAGCGCGACGGTTACACAGCCTGGCTTGACAGCGAGGCCAAGAACGCCCACCTTGCCCCGGGATAGACGAGGTAAGCTCACCTTTGTCTCGTCTCATGACCTACACCCGTACGAACCATTGACACACACAGGGTTGCTCCCATGCAGAGACTTTGCCAGACGAAATGAAGACCATTGGCATTGTCGGGGGCATCGCATGGCCCAGCACCATGGTGTACTACCGTGTCCTCAATGAGTACTTTACGGAGAAAACCAACAGCAATGGCCTTCACACGCCAAACATTGTGATTACTCAGACGGATTTCGCCCTGTTAGAGCAAGCCCAAAACGACGGCCGCTGGGATGACGTCGGGCGGCTGCTCGCAGCCGAAGGCGAGAAGCTGAGAGCCGCAGGGGCCGACTTCTTTCTCTTGGCATGTAACACAGTTCATACCGCCGACGCAGACATTGCCAACAACGTCGGGATCCCAATGCTGCACATCGTGGATGCTGCCGCCAGGAAGGTGATCGATCAAGGACACAATGTTGTCGGGGTTCTGGGCAGCCGGTATACGATGACAGGAACGTACTTTGTTGGTCGCCTGGAGCAGAAATACGGTCTCAAGGTCTTGGTGGCTGAGGGGGAGCACCAAAGCAACGTCCACAATGCACTCTACCAGGAGCTCGCGAGAAACGTTTTCCGCCCGGAGACGAGGGACAAGTTCAGGTCTGCCATCGACGACTTGATCATGCGAGGGGCCGAGGTCATCATTCTCGGTTGCACCGAGTTCGGTATACTCGTGCAAGCCTCGGACAGTCGGGTGCCCATCATCGACACCAGCATCACGCACGCGCAGGCGGCTGTCGATTTTGCTTTGACGGAAGGCGACCTGCGAAGCGAAGGCAATTTTCTTGTGTTTTAATTTCATTATGCAGTCCGTTATGGGTAAAATAGAAACCCACGATGACGTCTTGAAGATTCGTGCCTGTACGATCCGACTCATGTGACTGCTCTGCAACTGGACAGGGTTACCACGCAACTTTAGCTGAGGGCTGTATACGTGACCGAGGTCCATGGAAGACACGTAGTGACTTCTTATTCTACGTTATTAGCCCACTCGCAACGGCCCTTCAATTTGTCCTGTTGGTGCTTTGAAGCATTGCCACATTCCGTCATAAAAACTTTTGCACTTTTGAAATTAGAAAATGGGAGCCCATGGCTGCGCCTTTGACCGTCTCCACTCAGCATATGCTGCAATCTTTGCTGAAGCCCAGAGGAAAAGAGGCGGAGTAGAGTAGTCTGCCTCGGCAATACGCTGAGAGAGCCCCGCCGGTGTCATTGACCGATCAGCAGTATAATCCTCCGTCCTGATCCTGCGCCGTAAACCCAGAGACACCAAACCTGTCTCGTTTCTTGTTGTCACTGTCCAAGAACGTAAACGGAGACTCTCCACCTTTCTGTGGGTTATTGTCGTCTGCCAAAGGGTCAAAGCCCCTGCTGTTCGCCAAGTCGTAGGCCAAGGTTACGTTGCTCGGCAAATTCGGACTGCTGTATAGCGTGCAGGACCTCTTGCCATCATCACCGTCCATAAAAGTATGTTTCCAGACCCAATTGTTGCAGCTAGTGGCCTGTTCAAGACATTTTGCCACGCAGTCACAAGCTGAGCGGAAACCGTCTTTGAAGAAAAAGTGCAGCTCGGTGACCACGCCTGTCATATCGATGCCGCGGTAGTAACGGACGCATCCGCCACTTCTTGGCGCCTGCAAGGTCGGAAACTGCCTTGACGTAACACGTCCCTCGCAAATTGCCCATGCCGAGTAGCCATTTGGATTGGGGAAGATGTCCGCCCGTTCGTTGTCTTTGTCGTGCTTTGTCGGAGTCCCAAAGCTAGTTGAGGCTAGCATGAGGGAGACTGCAGCGAAAGCGAAGCGCATGATGACAGGTGAGGGGTAGGGAAATTCTGTAATCGGCTTGTTCCTTGCGGTTCAGTACGCGTAGTGCCAGGCATACGGCGAGGCTGTCGTGGCTCCTCTCGTACCAATGGACACTATATAATGGAACGGACTGCCCCAACCGTCTTCGAACATACGTGTGTCAATTCTATCAAATGGAATGAATACGAGTGCACCCGCATATTGTAGACTTTCCACATGCGTGGTGGCGGCCAAGTCTGGTTGTCTCGACTTATACGAGGGCGGTGATGTATGGCCCGGCTCGGCACATATGTGCCGTAGCCGTGGCTTGTCTCGAATCTTAATCTGGTGAGCGCCACATCTGCGGTGCCACAGTGCTGGCTTGTCGCTTCACCATGGCATACTTAGCGGAAAGTCAGTCGATGCATGAGGAGATGCATAAGGAGAGAGGCTGAATGGCGGCGTTTTAGGGCTGGAAAGGTGTTTGGCGATGCGGAGGAATTGTTGGGCCGGCGGGCGACCAGCAACCTAGTAGTGTCGCGTTCACGGCGGGCGTGGAATCCTTTGCACCGTCGAGAGACACTTCGAGAAGTTAATGTGGCGCTGTATTCGGGCTACCCTTGCAGGCATCGATCGGAGCGGAAGACTACTCCGGATTCATCAGCGAGGTTGAACGTGCGACCGTGTACACGATTCCAGTCCCCTGACGGGAGTGAGAACACTGAGCATTGTGCTTCGGTTGCTATTGCAAATTTCCACGGGAACACCATGAACAATTGGAAACATGACTAGTAACTAAGTATGCCTAACGTTCGGTCCGTATTATCATACGCCGTACTGAACCACTCGTACCACCATCGCTTCGAGTTTCGTAGACATCCCCGTGGGATGGCATGATCCATCTCCCAAGGTAGATTTTGAGTGGTAATTGTTTACCAGGCCGGAGGGTACGCTGCGGCACCCTCTTGAGATTTGTCGCGCTTCCAATCAGGGGGATATGTGGCACCCTTGACCTGGGCGTTGTCGCTCTTCCAGGCGGGAGGGTAGGTTGCAAATTCGGCCTGCGACTCGTCGCGCTTCCAATCAGGAGGGTATTTGGCAGCATCGAATTGGGAATCGTCGCGCTTCCAGTCAGGAGGATACTTGGCATCCTCGGCTGGGGCGTCGTTACTCTTCCAGACGGGCGGGTAGGTGCCGGCAACGGCGCCGGTATCACGACGCTCCTGGGATGGGGCGCCGTGAACTGTGCCAAGGAGGCTGACAGCCACATACAGAACTTGAAGAACCTTCATAGTGATTTCCTGCGATGTACGAGTTAATGGGCTGGTGTTGCGCATCCGCCACTCGTTGTACGCGGGCTTGTCTTTTATATATGCGTGTACAACCGCCCTCGCAGAAAATTGGCTGTGGACTCCATCGAGAGCACCAAAGGCAGAGCACCATCGGTAACTCGCCAGGATAGGAAGCCGTACGCCGCGTCTGGGTCAATGCGTACATGTAATGCCTCATTTTACCTGACGATTCGCAATACGAGCCCATTACGTTTACCCCTGATGATAAATCCCCTTCCGGGGTTAGCAAAGCCCTCCATACGTTGGTTCAGGCATCGACGGTCTGTAATGTTGGATGTTCTCGGAGGTTTGGATGAAGCCTCCGAGTGTCCAGCCGTCACGATCAAAACGCATCGAGACCATTGTATCTCCTGCGCGTGTCATGAGATGTCGCTTGGGGCCTTCGTAGCAAGTGCTGCTTCTCTACGCCAGATAGCACAGCATGTCTAGAGGACAGAGCGCGGGCGTGGAATGCATCCAGTCATCTCTCCGCCTTCTCAACACTGCTAGAAGTCGTTATCCATGCCCGCGCGAAATACAGCCGAAGCCAGTTCCGCCCTGTCTTGGCGGCGGCAGGGCCAGCGCACCCGCTGCGATTTGATCACCGAGATGATGTCCGGATAGCCTACTCGTCTGCACTCTCCCCGAAGAACAGCTTTGGTCCGCCAGTGCTGGGTTGTGGGGTAAGAAAGGGGCAGTCGCCGTCTCGGGCGGTCGTACATGCAGGGACCCTTGCCTGTTCCGAGGAGGTCGTCCACGGAACATGCACCCGCATGCGACCTTATTCGATTGCGGTATCTTTCGTCAGTGGTATATATAATAATGGGGTAGGGGTAAGACCCTCCCGCACGACACATACGGCTAGATCCTGGCGCAATTGGACGTGAAGGACAGGCGGACGCACATGTATGGTTAAGGCTCCAAGCACGGGCAGCACACATGCATCGCCTCCCGGATCCTCTTTGACGAAAGGAGCCCGCCCGGCATAGTTCGAAGCGCGAATGCAGGCATCGACAGCGGCTTGTAGCTACACGTGCGCGTGCCAGAAATTCAGGCAAGGCGCAGAACCATAGTGGCCGTGTCAACGGCCCCAAACATCGTCGGCGGCTGGGACCATCGGCCACATGGAGCGTAGGCTACAGGGCGTTGCCCAGCTTCCACAGCAGCTTCACGCGATGGAACAAACCACGTGGCGACGAATGATGTTTCATTGTGGCGTCGAAGGCTGTCGCGTCTGGGTGTGATGGCCCAGTGACGTCATCGACGGGGGCGTGTGAGCATACAAGCCAAGTCGTTTACCCTGTGCCGGGCTGTTACAGGCAATTGATGACAGTGAAAGCTGCACACTCTCACAATCGCCTGCTGCCGTTTGTTTCATTGGGGCTACATAACTCCGTCCAAGTCTCACTGGCAATCTGATTACGATCCACGTTTCTCGGCGTCCAGCTGAACAGCTGCCCTCCCGCGTCAAGCTGCCACCAGACCGGACCTCACCTCGCGCAAAGTCACTGGCGATTTCCGCCCACCCACACGTCACCACGCTTTCCCATGACAAACCACGAAAATAATGAAGAGTTTTGGGACTCGCTATCCGACCGCGATGCCGTCCCTTGTTCCGGGGACACGTTCATGATCATCGACCGGCGTGATAGCCGCGCACTCACTCTCGTGGATGGAAAGATACACCTAGAAGCCGACATCAGTCAGGCCGGGAATTGCTACTGGGTCTGTGTCGAAACCAATGGCTGGCTTGGATTCTATGAACAGGAGTTGGGGCGATATTTGGGGCACGACTTTTGGTGGAACTTTACGGCGGATGCGTTACGCCATGAACAGTATCAATATTTCGAGACACGGAGGCACCCGGATGGAGGATACTTGTTGCTGGCTCCGTGCCTAGCAAAGCTTCTGCAAGTCACTGTCGCGAGAGACGGCAAAACCCTGACGACGACCGAGAGCGGCGGAGTGACATGGGAGTTTATCAAAGTGTAGTCTGCGGCATGAACATGAATAGACCCGTACACGGCTTAACCAAAGTCGCCAATATGTTCTGCGGAGAAAAACCAAGCCCTGCTACCAGCGATGGCATGGCGCAACCATGGATGTCCGTGATCGCGCGCTGTCCCATTGTGCCACACCGCGTAAAGTGCAATTGAAGTCGGCGCGATCAAATCACGGGCCCACCGCGTCATGACGAAGGGTCGTCGATAAAGAGCTCGCGATCGAATGCACCACACATCTCGTCCCACGGTGCGGTATTGTTCGTGATACCATCTGTTTTGATAGCAAATCCAGGGTCGCTCATGCGCGCCCGAAGTAGTTCCCGCCCCTGCCCCGTCCACCACTGTCGAGCCCACCAGTCGTCTATCTTGGTCTTATCGCCGTTGAAGTGTAGGATCGCGGGAATGGACCGCGCGTGGAAGTTGGAGAAGAGCGGCATGTCCATCCAGTTGGCCACAGTCTTGTTTGCTCGGTCCCGCCGGACCTCTGTAGGGAGCGGCGCCCGGAGCAGATCCTCCGGGAATGGGAAGGGAGTCTGATATATGTCAGCTGTCCCATGCTGGCGATCGTTCATCTCCACCTCTGTGAGGTTGCTGTGTGTGACGGAGGAAAGGTCGTCGAGAGCCGAATTGAGATCCTGGAAGACGGTACTGGCTAGATCGACGCCCAGGTGGTAGTCTGTATGCTGCGTCTCGAGGTGTGGCCACGTGAGCTCGTCGTCCTTGAACGTCTCGCCGAATCCAAACACCCATTCCCTGCTGCCGCGTAGTTTCTGTCGCGATAGCTCTTGCCGCCCGTAAATGTTGCTAAAGTAGTCTTGATCGCCGCCCCAGGTGTCATAGGCCTTCCAAAGCAAGTGCGCCCATTCATACAAGGCAAGCAAGTCGGCCACTGGTCCCATGACCGTCCCAGAGTTGAGCCAGCGGGGTCGATTCGTCTCCGTCGCCTTGTCTGTAGCATTGCCGTACGCATCGGGTCGGAGGGTAGATCCTGGCACCGCCCAGCAGGCAGGATGACGGTGGTCGAGCGGCCAGCAGTACTTTTCGGCACCCATGATGACCGTCTGCCTGAGATTGTGTCTCGTCACGTCTTCTAGCCCGTGCTGAGAGTCGAGTCGTGCCGATGCTCGTTCATTCACAGACTGGTATCGCTGCAGCGTGATGTCGAGCGGCAGCTGGAAGATGACATCATGAGCGTCGACGATAATGACCAAGTCCTTTTCTGCCGCCGTTGGTAGTGCGCGCAAGTACTTGAGAACCCCCCAGTTCTTCCCGGTCGTCATGTCGTAGCCGTTCATGGAGCCGTCGCCCTCGTTTTGCCCCCAGTTAATCACCACTGGTGGCGGATAGTCGTTTATGATGGCACTCATTAGCGTTCGACATATTCGGCTGTTGGCCTGGTTTCCTGGAACGAGGAGATGGACATGTGCTTTGCCAGGGCCCTGACCGGGCCGACCGCGGCCCAAATCAGTGAATATGTAGCCGTACTGGTGACGACGTGTTAGCCGCGCCCATCCATGCCATGAGACGATTCTGGGCAGTGCTGCAGCTCCTACCTTGTCGTTGTACGCCAACTGGAGCCAAATGACGCTGAAGAGCGATAAAAGGCTCGCGACGGCAAAGGACAAGTGCCGAATACGGGCCCAAGAGGCCATGGTCTGTTGACCAGCGTCGTCTCACGGAAGCGGTGGGAAACGTGCGTCGCTGCGCCGCCCAGCACAGAGCGCGCTGTTTGACATTTCTTCATCATGTACTCGTACATAATACCCTGAAAGGAAGATGGCCGGGTTGCTCCGCTTCTCGTTACGAAAAGGTGCATAATACGCAGCAGACGGAGCCCATTGCCGTCCGCTAGCAGCCAGATCCATGCCAGCTTCCGATTGATCCCCATCGTCTGCTTGGAGGATGACGACCCGGTATACGAACCAAGCTGAGATGGATAGCGCATGGGTCACTCAGCCACTCGATCTTGCAAACAGCTGTGGAGCACACGCTACTGGACCCTTTTTCGCTGGTGGGTAACGCGACCAGCCAACCCGGCAGCGAACCGACAGTGCGCCCAGTTTATTGAAAGCTTGTCCTTGCCATGTGGCGCCTGAACGTGCCAAGTGGCCGAGTGCCGGGACCCAGTCGTTAGTGCAAGCTCGCCAGAGTGATCAAGACACCCGCCCGGGACCGGAATCTGCTCACCAAGTCAGTATGGGAACCATTAGCTTCTGCTATATACACTTTTGAATAGCGACGTCCATGTCTCGGCTATACGCGCTGTTGCTGGTGTTCAATAATGCCTCTCTGCTTGGGCATACATGTCGGATCGATGTCTTCAATATGGAGCATCATGCACGGATCTTGCGATTTGATCAATGGAAGCAACGTGTCGGGTAACAAACTCTCGAGGTTGTTGATGCCACCTCCTGGTCTAGTCTTGGCAACGACAGGGAGTACAAGCGCCTCCCCCCCTGTCGCCGTGCTCAAATATGATGGCACTGGGGCAACCTCCCGACAGGCTCTAGCTTTAAGTTCTCATTCTATCATGCAGCATGCCCGGTGTGTTGTGATGGCCAATCCTGGCGCGAAAGAGATGCTGGGACTTGGCTCCTTCCCAACACTGTGCTTTGTTTGAGTCGCGAAACGGCCCGGCGCATTGCGCACAATCCCAGCGAGTTTCACCTATCGTCACGACATGGATATACAGCAGAGGGTCAATGTGCAACATCAGAACCTTGAGACGCGGGGTCATGGATTCTCCCAAGAAACGCACGTCTACCCATTCACAGTGCCATAAAATAGGCCCCTACCACTCCATGCGCCGAGGCTTGCATAACGTCATTAATCTTCACTGATGTTCACGACCACAACAACGGAGCGCGACCGCGGCCATGTACTGTGTTTTTGGTCATGATATGCCAGTAGAACCATGTTACGCCGCACCCTCGTTTCCCAGTTGACATGGAAACAGGTGAACGAGAGTTCGACTCCCACCGACAGGCTTCGTCCAGGAGAGCCCGTATCCTGCAAACGACCAGAAAGCAAAGTGAAATTGACAGAAGTTCCCCGCGCGTCTGCGCTTGATCTTTAGCTGTCCTTGTCCGCCTGCACAAAGTTCAAAAAGTCCATGGAATAGTAATTGCTGACGCCCGTGTCGCTGACCACCGAGCCGAGGCGCGGGGCGGACATGGCCGTGCTGTCAAAGGAACCCGAATCGCCACCGGAAATGAGATACTCAATCCCAGTTATGGTGCTGTTGCCAAACGCATGCGCGTAAATCATCTCCGTCGAGCACAGCTCTGGCTGCGAGACGTTGGCAGAGTTCTCCGGCCCAATACGAAGCAACTCTTTGGCGATGATCTTGATCTCGCGCAAGACCTTTTTCCCTCTAGGCCATGTTTCCGCAAAGGTCTCCAGGGCACCTACGGCGACGCGGATGCGCTCGCGCCCGAGCTGCAGCTGCGGGCCGCGCAGGCGGTACTTGCAGGCAGAGAGGTGCGCAATGGTGATGGTGGCAATCATGCAAATCGTGAAGGGCGTGTGAAGGGACATGTTGGTGGGGAGTGCCAGCAATTTGGTCATTTGCTCAATGGCTGACAGAATTTTGGCGGTATGCAGCGGTGCTTCTCTGTAATAAATGTCCTCCAACCGCTCCGGAGGCGGGCGCGGAGAACATGACGAGGTGCTTTCAATCGGGTTGTATGTCAACGTGGACAGTTGCCTGTGCACATCGACGGTATATCTGCACGTTCGTCAGCGAAAGCACGAAGGGAAAAGAGCCGAAACGCGCGAAGTTGACCGGGAGCGTAGAGACTGTCGAGTGTGCCCCCACCACAACTCGCATCGGGAGCATCAGGGACGGTACGTACACATGAAGGAGGGTATGGCCTTTGAAGAGAAGCTCATCAAAGGTTCCATCCTCCCGGAAGAGCTTCCGCTTGCCTTGGGAGAGCAGCGAGACCCACGCCGCGATGCATGTGTCCGTATTGTTGCACACTTCCTTGACGTTGGCTTCCGAGGAACGAGCCAGCCTGTACACGGCGTGATCAAAACTTCGCAAGAGGCCCACCAGGTAGCCATACGAAGAGAAATCGCCGGGATCATCACTTGTATCGAATTCTCGATTGTCATAGTCCTCCATGGTCTTTGGAACGGGGGGGATGCACTGTAACCTCTGGTGAGTCGCCTCGTCAACGAACCTCTATTGCATTGTAGTACATACCCCTGATGCGTATTCAGACTCTTCACAGGGAAGGTCCACCGTGCAAGCGACTTCTCTCTGGCTTGTGTAGATGGTCTCGTTGTGGTTGGTACCGGCGACGTGCAGATCGGTACAATAGAGTTGCCACCATGTTCGGCGCCAGCTCTCTGCCAGCACAGGGTCGCCGCCGGAGTGTTCTGATGCATAGCCCTTGAGGTTCATGCCAATGGCCACCGCCTTGTAGGCCGCCATCTTGAGCAGCTCTTCAGACTTGGGGATATTGTCGTACCAAAATACGGCATTCGAGTACAGGACCAGCGCTTGGATCTCGTACCCACTTGTCCACGGCTGCGTTTCCGCCATGGCAGCGGTTATCTGGTTCTCGAGCGGCGCTGAGTCCACCTTGGGTGAGTAGAGCGAGCCGATGAACCGCATGACGCTGAGCAGCAACTTCATCCCAGGTGGATTCTCTCGCATCCGGACCACAAAGAACTGTGCAGGGAGGACACATGGATGTGACCCGTGAAAGTAGTTGTAGTAGAGTTCCAGCAGCGGCTCAGAGGTGAAGACGCGCTGTGAAGACGAGGCCGTCGTGCTTTCGTCGCCATCAAAGCTTGAGCTGCCCCGCGTCGCACTCGAGCTGGAGCTTTCATGCCACGTATTTGCCAACACCATGGGACGTCGTGGACTGGTAAGCTCCTCGTCGGCGGCTGCGGCGGCGGCGGGACCCGTGGCGGGAACTGTGGAGGCTCTAAAGGGAGCGGGAGGTGGTTGAGAGGAAACATGCCCCTGATCATGCAGTGTTGGCCGCCTGGGTCGTCCGCCCCTGCGAGACTTGAGATATGTGCACTGTGTTCCCGTGGAGATGCAGCGCGAGCACGTTGGTTTGCCACCATCGCATCGGATATGGCGCTCGCGGCATTGAACACACGCCAGCGTTACGCGGGTGACGGGCCCCTGCCCTTGGGAAGACATTTGCTGCTGTTCCATGGTGGCCGGATGCGCGTCTCTGGTTGCTGGACCTTTCCGGTGTCTCGGGAGTTTTGTTAGACAATAGGAGAACGAACGCCAGTCGTGGAAGCCGGAATCCGTGGACTTGTAGTACTTCGCCCGTGGAGTGTCGTCAAATCTTGCCGTACGGGTTTTAAGATGCAAAAGGCAAACAAGTGTGTCGGGCACAATCCCGCGTCGCCTGCCTATCCGACCGTCATGAGCAGATGCCCCACTGATCGATGCGGCCATGGGCTCGTATTCATAAGCACGATCCGGGTTAGGCATGCTCACGCCTCCTGGCTACGTAGATTGCGCCACTGTTCAGAGCCTCGATGTTTCTAGTTCCGCCCGTCGGCCTAGTTACAGGCGACTCCCGACTGGACGGTGTCACGACACCATCAAACTGCTCGTGGTGGCCCTGCGTTTTGGGACATGGGGGGAGGGAGCCTCGTTTCGCAAACCGTGCACTGGCCCGGCAGCCCGGCCGGCAGATTCTCGTCCACGAACCGATGGAACACGCTTGACAAAGAGGCAACCATTGGTGGGACTGGTATTGCTGAACTGGCGGGGGAAGGCTGAGCTGACTGCCTGCACTGGCATCGACACAATCCAATCCTCACCCAACTTCTTGTCGGTGCTGGGTGCACGATCTTGGGTCGGTTAACCGTTTTGCTGTGTCCGGCTATCCGTTGACACAGTTGCAGGGCACTGCAGGGCACTCATTGTTGTCCTCGGCCCCGCAATTCGCCGTTCCGCCTTTTGAGGCGCGCAGGGGTAATGGTTGGCTCTTTTGTCTTAGTCGAACCTTGTGGGGACAAGCTACTGCAGTCAGGACATGAGCCGCAGGAGGGCTGGCGCCACGAGAAGGGACCCCTTCGCTGTCTTTACTCGTGATAGAAGGCGTTGCCTCTTTGCGACTGGTCTCGGAACAGACCCTACATCGTTTTGACATGGAGCACGTCGGATAAAATAACAAGGGGGGGAAGGGGGGGGGGGAATCTGGTTCACTCCATCATCACCTGGTCGGCCGAGAAGAATGTTGAGTGTGGTCACGCAGCGAGTGGAGGAGAAAAGGCCGCTTCGACGTCTGCCATCGACTGCATCCGTTGGGCCGCATCCCCTGACGGTATTGTATGTCGCCAGTCCGGCATCGACCGCCGCGAGGTTGAGGGGAAGACCATTCCCCTCCCGTAGTTGCCATAGTATGTGTTACGTGAAGCCCGAGTGTACCCAACGCGGCCAGCTACTCCTCTTGTCACGTCTCTACTCGAGCAGCCGTTCTATCCTCATCATGGTTCTATCCAGTATGGCATCCACCATCTCCTTACTTACCATGCCCTTTTCGAAGGAAGCGTTGATGATGGTGTCTCCATCGGCGACGCCGACAATGTTCAGGGCAAAACTGCGTGACCCCGCGTGTCCGTTTGTCGCGGCGGCCGAGAACTGCATCTCGTCGATGGCCCACCCCTCTTTGGTTGCCCTTGTCCTCAAGCTGACGCCATGCTGCCGGCCGGCAATGGAACCAAGGTTGGATACCAGGTAGGTGTCGCTGACCATGTGTCCTATCATGGGCAACGACGTCTCTGTGAAGTCCTCGAGGTCAGGGCCGACCAGTTTGGAAGCCATCCAATCGCGGATGCAGCCGTGGACGCCAGCATCCATGTCCTTTTTGTACGTGCGCGCAAGTTGCCATATCGCCTCATTGTGGCAAGGCAACAAGCCTTGGTCATCCACGGCCCCATCTCGTTTGTACTTGGGCAGCCAATGCAGCTGGACAGCGGCGGCGGCGGCATTCATGATAATTCCATTCGGCGATATATCGGCCACTCCAGAGAGTGAAAGGTGTGACCGTAAGTCAAAGGCAACGCGTGACGCCCCGATCAAGGCGCTGGGGTAAAAGTCTGTTGATAGCGTGAGGTTAAGCATGGTGACTAGAAGTGGCGTAAAGGTCGTTTGCTTCTCTCGGCAAGCCAAAATGATGTGCCTGACTTTGGCGGCCGGGATTCTGCATGTCGCCACCGTTGTCGTGGTCCGGCCTCCATCACCTGGATGGGCCACCAGCGATCGAGTATATGGACGGGGTCTCGGGAGGTCACCGAAGAGAAGTCGCTTCTGGAAGAAGAGCCGAAGTAGCCACCAGACAAGAAAGTTCCACACCAACCTCAGGATAGATGGCGTATCCGTGGCAATGTCGGTCGGCTCCGGCGGGTACTGAAGAATAGTCGACGGACTGTACGCCACATGGTCTGGTGATACGGTCCCTGAATCAGGCGACGGCCCAAGTGTGTTGAGAGCGGCGAGGAATTCGCGGTGAAACGTTACCCCCGAAATTCCGTCACCGACAAAGTGGTGATAGACGAAGACGATGTGGTTTCCGCCGACGATGATGAGCTTCCACCACGGGGTTCCGGGTTCGTCGTCGGCCCAGTCCCACGTATTATGCGCTTCCTCGAGCGTTGCTGATGTTACGCCATCGCCCTGGTCGTCGGCCACAAATTCGACGCAGGTATCGAACTCGATCTTGTGAAGCACCGCCCGGAAGATCCTATGTCTGCCTGGACGCGGCGACGGACGCTGTACGCCAACGACTCGGAGGGCCGGGTGCGTCTTGATGACGGAAGCGAGCGCGTTGTACACGGCCCATTTCGAGAGCGGCCGATCGTCACCACAAGTATATCGCGCCGAAACGAGGATATTTGACTGAATTCCAAAACGATGGAATGTGTAAAACATGCGTTCATAAAAGCCTGAGAACATCAATTGCTGTCGCGCGTGTCCATCCAGACGAAAGTCGCTGCTTACTTGACATCCGCAGGATCGTGTAAGCGGCCGATGGATCACCCATGGTGGGCACCATTTCTTCGGTCTACAGAGAAATGTTCTCAAAAGGCTTTCACAATCAAGGGGGTGTACGCCTTTGCAGCGGCAGCTATTATATGCATCGCAGTGTGTCTGTTGTTGGACGTGAAACCTTGCATCCAAGTTCAGCAGCCACCAGCCGCTCGACGGGACCAGCCCAGCCGCTGTGCCGCCTCACTGTGACCATTGCGGCGCAGCCGGTGATTATTAAACGTCTCTTCGTATTCTTTCCATCTATGTTCCATCACAATTGGCCATTCATTTCCTAACATTTGAGGTCCTGTCCCGAACAGTTGGGTGCATAGGCTACTCGGGTTCCTAGCGCGGCGTGGAGTAGCCCGGGACGATCTGGCTTTCGCGGCATATCCCATTTAGTCTCGGTCGCCAAGGGTGTGCAATGCTTAAAAAGTCTTGCTTGATTGCGATCGCCCAATGGACGTTGCCACAACGTTCAAGAATCAAGACCCCTCTGGTGCCCATTCCGCAATGCGACGGGATCTACACAATCGGCTCCGGGTTGATAGGCCTGGGGACTGTGGGTGGCATACCCCCACAAGTACAGCCGGGTATTAAGTTACAAAGGTCGAAAGGGTGAGTTGACTGCCCAGAGCCGCCCATGAATGACCCCTTGCAAGATCATTCTTTCAGGGAGACTTTGCGATTTGCGAGAAGGCCACTCGAATGTGAAGGAAATGTTGGATGCATTCATTCGCTCTCATCGCAGAGGGTATTTTCTGCGATTTGGTTAATGCTTTTTCTGGGCCAAGTCATGGCGTCGTCCAGGAAGAGTTTACATGGCGAATTACCGAATTGATGCGTACAATTGCTCATTCGTCGGCCACACTCTCAGTCGCTGCCTCTGTCGCAAGTGGTCGCCGTCGGTCTAGGCACAACAGGCACGAAACCTGCCCTGCGAAGCTCTGTGCATTCGAGGTTTACAAGCCTGCCTCATCGTGCGGTGCACCGACGAGTTTGGTCGCCGCGTCGGCGACCTGAGCAGGCAGTGGACCCCGGGCAAGCCGCCAGGCTCAAAAGCGCCTCCAGGGGTTGTTACTTCAGCTCCAACTTCACGATAACATGGGGTGCTTCTGGGTAGCGACAGCGGTGAAATAATCGTGCCGCGCAGAGAGCCGTGCTGAGACGTCGGGTCAATTCCATCCTTGGAGGTTGCAGGGTTGCCGTGTCGAGCAACTCCGCGGGCGTCGTGAACATGGGACAGAGGCGTTCAGGCGGGGGCTTCTCCCGCAGCCGGGGAGAGGGGGGGCATGTTGGTGTCCGCGCCATCGTGAGCCGTCCTCATTCCGCCCTCCCCTCATCATAAGAGAAGCCGCTGCAGTGTCCCTCACAGCGGTGCCTGCAGAGGTCCTTTTTAGCCTTGACCCTGGTCGCTTGGCCATGCAGACTCCTGCAGAACGGTTACCCCAGATGCCAACGGATAGCCGGGACGCCGAACCGTTGACGCCACGAAGTGGTCTCGGCCGGTCGTGGTCGAGAGAGCTTGAAGCTCGGGCGGGGGAGAGCTGAGACACACAGACAGCCTGGAGAATACTCCGGGGGATCCTACTCGTGGAATAAGCTCGTGGGGCACTGGCACCGGGGGCGGTCAAGTTGCGTCTAGGGCGATAGTTCACTACAGCTTCCTGTGCCAGGTGGACGGCGTAAGCACTGTACGCACCAATGGAGGCGTCACAGCCAGAAAGGGCGGGCTTGGCAGCAGAAAACACTTGCCGCCGGCAAGATTGGCGGATCAGGAATGGGCTTCAACAAATGTCAAGTTCATTTGACTCACGCGCGCCCGCGATTCGACTCGTGGACATTTCCACAATTGCGCATTACCTTGGCACGTCGATGGGGAAAGCTGTCCGGGTCACCAGCCGGTCGCTGAACTGGGAGAGGAGTGCTCGCAGGGTCAGTGTTGGGCGGCGCTCCCGGCTGGGCAGAGAGACGGCGACGCAATTCTGATGCCAGAAATACACGACCAAGTTGCTGCACGATGGCAGCGGGACGCCAGCACGATTTGGTTTGCCGCAGGGTGAAAACCTCCGTTGCTCATGGCCGTCAATTCACAGCTATGACCCGGCCTAGAACTTAATGTCCCTGTACTCTTCGTCGAGCTCCACGAGCGCTGCGATGCCACCCTTATCCACGACCTCGGTGTCCACCACCAACGTTGCCAACAGCGTGGCGGTCTCCGTCGTGCTGTAGTTGTCGCTGACCTTGTGATGGCAGCCAGGCGCCTCGAACCAGCTGCCGCCCTTGTCAAACACTCTTGTCGGTTCGTTGTTCATCTTGTTGACGAGGCTTCCCGACAGGACGAGGGCGGACGCCGCGGCTCCTGCGTGTCGGTGGGGCGGGGTAGACGAGTTCGGTGGGAACGTGACGAGCAGTCCGATGCTTGACTTGCCGGGGCAATTGGGCAGCTTGTATTGGTACGCGAGCTCCATGGACGGGAGCGGTCGACTGACGCCGTGAAATCACATGGGGTTAGTCCATGCTTTTATGAGAGCAACAGGGCTCGCGACCAAGCGAATTCATACCTCCGGTCGTACTTGGGAGGGTCGTCAATGATCCGGCCTTCTGCGGGCATGTTGGCGGTGCTAGTCGAGTTGTGTACGTGTGTGCTGGAGACGAACGGTGGGGTTCAATGAATGCTTGCGCGGAAACAAGTCAGGTGTTGATGATCTCCGTCAGTGTAAAAAAACGGCCCCAAGCTTCCTCTTATATCCCCGCGAATCTACAATCCTCGCCGTGTGCTTCATACGTCATGGTCGTTCCTCCTGGTCGCGGCTCTTCGCTGTGTTCCTGATGATAGGCTATCGGGTACGCAGCAGTCGCCGCAATGCGGCTGACTTGGTGGTGGCGCCTCCACTTCGGCACGCTCGGGTGGGGATGGCGGGCGGGTTGACAGCGGGAACGATCGCCGTTGAGTCGCCGCAGCCTCACTGCCAGCCGTCATTTCACGACGGTTCAGCTGGGTGGAGCGATGGCAAGTGGACGACGCGCCGGAGCCTTCAGGTCCAAGGCATTCAGCCTTGCAGGATGAATTCCCATGCGACGACCCAGGCAAGGAAAGCAATCCATCGCCATTCCGCCGCAGCTACTGCGCAGCCGCAAGCTGCGGTTGAGGGTTGGAGAACGATCAACGGCCGTGGCCGCAAATCCCGAGTCCAATTAGAGATTCCGGGGCGGGAACACGCGTGTCGCATCGATGAATACGACGCAGTGTCTTATACCCCCCGGTAGCACGGCAGGGTGCGTGAAGCCTCTCCGCAGCGGGGGGGCTCGTCACGGCAGCCCCGGCCCCCGAAGCCCGGGGCCTGGTGGGGCCGCAATCCGGCTCCGCCGGACCGGTGAGTATTCTCGGCCGAAAGATGCCACAGCTAGACTGCACCACAACTGGCGCCGCATGGAGGCTGCAAGAGACCGATGGCTATCGCGCGGAATTGGCCAAGGGAATTTGAAGAGGTGGCTAATAGCGCTCGTCCCCACAAATTTTCTGCGGCGACCGACGAGGTGTGTTACGCTGCAACTGGTGTTGGGCTGGTTAAAGCTGCTTTCTGCTCTGGCCCGTGAGAGCCTGGAAGAGCCCAGTAACGGCTGCAACGAGATGATTCTCCACGGACTATGGCATACTCTTGACTGGCTGAGGCACTGTGTTCTTCGGGTTTGGCCCTTTCAGCGTATCCATCGGTAGGCCGATGTCAAAAATACGTGGTTCTCTAGGGTATGTGTGCGGCGCGTCGCAGCCTCCGCTTCACTGGCTACGTCGCACAACGAACCGCCTGCCCACCTTGCGCCCTCGACCGGGTGAGCCTTGCAGCACTGCCTCATCATCCGTCAAATCACACAAAAGGACCGCCTGGTTGGCGACTTCAGCTGTTCTACGCTAGGCTGCCTATGCCTCGGACGATCATGCCCATTTGGGGGTGATCCAGCGCCATCTGCCTGTACGAAACACGAAACGGAGTCATTGCTGGTGCAAGGCGGAAAAGGATGAACCATCGCTGAGCACGAAAAGTTGCGCACTCTTTATATATAAATGACGGGGGCTTCAGAGCCTACTGCGAGGGAGGCCCGCCTTCACCTCCATCCATGTCGGCTTGCTTACATCGTCCTGGTACCACATCGTCAGATTCCACGACACGTCAAGGAGACAAAGTATCGCAATGTTGGCAACTGCATACTCTACGCTCTTCGTCCTGGCGCTGCTGCCAGCTGCGCTGGGTGCCATCAACGGCCCCTGCGCAGACGGCGTCGGCTGGTGCATCTGCATGGACAGAGACAAATGCCGATCATGGGGTGGTGCACCGTTACAGGGCGCTCCAGGGTCTTATCCTTGCCCAAACGATCCCGGCAACGTCTGGGGTTGCTATATAGGCAAACCGTGTCGAGGGGGTGATGTCCACACGAGTTGCAGCTGGCGCAATCAATGCACCGGGACAGTATTCCCAGGTGAACAAGACACCCCCACTCCTGCCTGCTCTGTGATCATAGCTAACACATCCAATGCAGACCCGGTTTGTCCCGGCGGGCGCGACTTTGTGTGCTGTGTGAACTGAGCGTGTGTGGGTTGCCGAAGAGACGCCACAGCACGGAGCTATGCACCTGGAACGACCTGGTCAGGAAAGAAAAGCCTCGGCACTGCCTCATATATATGAGCTACTCTAGAATAATGGTTTGGAGCCTAGCCTGAAGGTGTGAGGAGACATACTCGTGGGCCCCTCGGTGGCTCAGACCCGTCACCGTCAATTGAGATCCGTCGGAAAGAGGCGAGGTTCGCGTTTTCGGAATCAGGTACACGAAAAGACAAGACATGACTGTACCATGCACACCTAGCTTTCCAGCTCTTGACGTCCGGAGGCAGAGGTGCACTGCCTTGTTGCAATGAGACGTTCTCTGCTGCTCCGAGAGGGACGGAAGATGCTATGCGTCCATCTCTGCTGCTCCGAGAGGGACGGAAGATGCTATGCGTCCATGTCGCCGTCGTCGCCACACCGTCTCTTGTTTGGCCGAATCAGGCTTCGAACCGCTGCTTCTCTTGATAAATACAACATCGGACATGGAGCCCGAAATAGACTGGTCATTTTCTGTGGCGAATTGTAGTGGCGAAAGCAAGAGCCATCCGCCCGCCTATGCACAGCCGATGTCTCCCCAGGTGCAAACATCATTGGCGACACTATGCTGTCAAAGCGCTCACAAGACACAACCCTGACCTGAGTGCTGCTCTGCGGCAATGAGGAGGTTCGTCTCAAAGGGAGCATACCTCCTCACCGTAGCCAAACGTTGGTTCCGCGATGGGATCGACAAATCAGAGATCGATGCCGCGGTCCGAGGGTCGAGAACAAGCCTTGGGCGCATCTCCTCCTCCTGGCCATTTCGAAGAATGTCGTCGTGCTTCTTGGTGTTCAACTTCAAACATTTACATGTAGCTTATTCATCATCAGGCATTCCCCTAACCCGGTCGAGCGACTCTTGCGAGGATACCTCGGTATTTGCGACCGAGGGCTGCGCTGCCAAGGCCTGGGCTGCGAGCCTGCGACCGGTTCCCCGCGTTTTCTCATGCGGGCTGCAGTACCACAACCCACGAGCCTCAGATCTTCAGATTAGCCTATTTTAGCCATAAACGACGATCCGGAGTGGTTGGTGCGCCGACGACGTTGAGCCTCCTTCCTCTTAGGCCATGTAGTTGACGACCTGTACGCCATGCATTGAATCGCGATGCAAGAGGGTTACGGTTTCGTCAACGAGCCTCGGCCAATGCGTCTATTCCTCGGCACGATGGTGACTCTGGAACTCGGAATGAGCTCAGCTCAGGGGACAGCGAGAGACGATGGGCAAAACACGTATAAAGAGGCCATGATGCCGCGCCCGTCAAATATTTATGCTGGAGATCTTGAGAGGAACTGAGCACAGAATCAACTCTCGCTTCTAGTCTTATCCGCTGTACCCCACGTTGCACTCCACGCTGCACTCCACGCTGCACTCCACGCCTTCATAATGAAGTTTCTTTACGCCGCCATCGCGCTCGCAGGTGCCTCTTGCGCGCTGCCAGCCGCAAAGGTCGACGAGGTCGTCGAGGTCAGAGATCTCGAGGTGCGTCAGAGCCGACTGACGCGAAACGAGCTTGAAACCGGCGGTACCTGCCCCGGTGTCATTTTCATCTATGCTCGAGGCTCAACCGAGTCGGGCAACATGGTACGATGGCCTGACTCTCCGCCTCGTCTTCATGGCACTGATTTGCTAGGGTACTCTCGGACCCAGCGTTGCGGACGGGCTAGAGAGGCAGTTTGGGAGCAACGGCGTCTGGGTGCAAGGCGTCGGCGGCCCCTATACCGCCAGCCTTGGCGACAACTTCCTCCCCGACGGCACAAGTCGCGCCGCCATTGCCGAGATGATTCGCCTTTTTAACCTGGCCAACACCAAGTGCCCCAATGCCAAGGTCGTTGCTGGCGGATACAGGTATGGTCCCGGCTCGCTGCGGTCTCCTGCCATCTGTCACTCACTAACACGCTCGCCATGCAGCCAAGGTGCTGCTCTCACCGCGGCATCCATCCGAGACCTCAACGCTGGCGTCAGGGGCAAGGTTGTCGGCACGGTACTCTTTGGCTACACCAAGAATCTCCAGAACAGGGGCCAGATCCCCAACTACCCCAGCGACCGCCTCGAGGTCTTTTGCGCCGTCGGCGACCTCGTATGCACGGGAACGCTGACGATTACACCTGCCCATCTCTCGTATGGCGACGAGGCTCTCAACGAGGCTCCCCGCTTCCTCATCGGCCGCGTCAATGCCAGCTGATGGGCTTGAATACCCGAGTGAAGGAAGACGGAGCAAGGGATGGGGACCCCAGGCGGCTGCTGGATGCACCCCCGACGAGGCGTGAGTGGTTTGGTGAGCTCGGCCGGCCGTAGCGAGTGCGCTTCTCTTTCAGACCGTACATTTATGTTCCACATATTCGAGAAAAAGAAATTTTGGCCACAGTATTCGCAGACGATGTTATTCATGATCCGATTTGCCGCCCTGCACGGGGCATCTCCCGACTACACTTCACTGTCGTGTCAGGTGCGAACCGAAGCCATAGACGGAGCCTCCACCATAGGATCATCGCATGCAAAGCCATGCTATCGCCAGCTTACGTAGCGGCTTCCTTGAATCTTGCGCAGTCTTCGTAGGCCATACCTCCAGATGACGCCGATACCAAGCCACGATGACAGTACGAGCACGGCAAAAGCCAACGTGCTCTCTTCGAAGAAGTTGACCACGTTCATGCCGTACCAGCCTGCGACGAGTGTCGCCAAAGACATGCCGAGCATGGCAATCTCAATCTTGGCCTCGAGAATCATGATTTGGTTTCGACGAACGTTTAGGATGGAGCGAATGGCCTCTTCTGTTCGCCGAATGTTCTCTTTGGTGGAGGTGGCGTCCTGCACGGTCGTGTCGTTGGTCTTGAAGAAGGCCTCGAACATATACTCGACCTGTTGGTGGTCGTGCTTCGGGTGAGGCCGCCCATCCTTGTTGTCTGTCAAGTACATGGCGGCCATGTCCTCGTCTTCGTTGAGGATGTCTTGTACGGCGTCTCGGGTGAGGCGTGCCCGCTTCTCGACGATTGCCAATCTGCGCGTAATGTCGAGCAGATCGCGAAGTAGATGCAGCTCAAAGTCGTCCCGGTGAACAGGGGTGTCGCGCCTCGAGTCAAACTTTTCCAGGGCGCTCGTTGCCTCCGAGTGTATTTGCAAGAACTCCGCCTCCAGTGATGATGTGACGGCGGACAAGGCCGCTTCCAACACACTCAGCTCAAAGGGCTGCTCTTCCATTCCCTGATGCGGTTGGGTAGCAGCAGCAGCAGCGCGAAACCTGTTCTGCACCTCGTGCATGAACACGCGGGCAATGACGCTGTCCTCAACGCCTTTCACAGGGAAGCATAGCATCCTATCCGCCTGGATGATGAGGCGGAGATCGAAGAGGTGCGCGAGGATGGAGCGCTCCCGAATGATGAAGTGTGTGAGCGCGCCATATTGAAGATCAAAGGTGCGCAAGTCCCGGGTGCTGAGACCGTACTCCTGGGCAATGTCAAACTTTGTGCGGCGCTGCGACGTTTGCGCACCATCCCGCGAGACGACAATGTAGTCAATGGATACATTTCCGTTTGTCGGCGTTCGCGCAAGGTCGAGCGCCAATTGATACAGATCAGTGTCTTGACTTGTTCGCTCCGTGGGCGCTGGCTGGCGGGGCCACGGATGGCCGCTGTGGAACGCTCGTATTACCGCGGGCTTTGGGGCGCGCACGACCGCGGGCGAGAAGGTCAGGACGGAACTTGGCCGGTTTCGCCGCAGCTGACAGTCCATTCGCAGTCGTGATGGCCGGACCCAACGCCATACACGTGCAGTGCAGATTGCTGAGGGGCTCTGGGGAGGCATCCTGTCTGAATGGCGTGTCTGTCGCTGGACTGGACTCACTGGAGTATGGGATGTTTTGAACTCTGTTGACGAGTGTCCTAACGTTACGTAGTTGCTGCAGGCGGTGGATCGGTCCGCTATTCGAATCCCGAGCATGCAACGGCAACTCGCGCTGGCGGCGGACGAGCCAGTCACGTGAGCCCTGCCAGGAAAGGCATCAGCGGATTCAGTTTATTGGTAGCTAGGCACGCCGCAGAATGCGCTTGAGCTGAAGCACGTCCATTCGTATCTCTCATATTTATATTGAGTAGTGCTATTTGTAGAGCCAACTTTTGCTAGTTGTAGAGCCCATAGCAGCAACGACAGCAACGACAGCAACGACAGCAACGACAGCAATGGCAGCAATGGCAGCAATGGCAGTAACGGCAACTTATATCAGTTATGGCAGCAAGCGCCTGTGGATCCCATCAATTTCCACGCGGGGGGG